AAATAGCGAGCTCCGACGACATTGCATGAATTGGATTCATGAGTTCCTCACTATACAATTTCCCAAACATGTGCTTTATCCAGATTTGCTGGTAATGGCTCTTGAGAGCACTATTTATACCTTGATCAAGAGGCTGATACCGCTTAGTAGTCCTTGGAGGGAGCCATAGGATCCGAATGTTCGATGGAGGAGGCATTAATTCAACGCCTTTTTTATGGCCAACAAGATTATCAAGAAGGAGGATGACCGAGCGTTGATTGCCTATATGAAAATAGAAGTGACGGAGCCAACTTTGCATAGCCTCAGCTGTCATTGTTGAATTTTTATTGCAATTCCAGACAGCGCCGAAGGCTCTGGCATCTAATCCGTTAAGAGAAACAGGCTTCTCCTCAGACGTGATTACCCAGATAGGGAGCTTATCTGAGCCGCTGGAATTCACGCAAAACGCCAATGTCATCTGTGAGTTGTTTTCTATTTCTTTTGGAGCAAGTGTAGGATATAGCACATGCCGACAGTGAAGGAGAGTTTCATCCATGTTGTAAATGTCGTCCTCATGGTATTGTCTGCAGAAAGCTTGTATAGTCTTCATTTCTTTGGAGGCTGTGACCGACACAGAAGAAGCTTTTTCAGGCTCTTTTGACTCATGCGATGGGAGTTTTTGGTCTTGAGGCTTTGTTGGAAGAATGATTCGTGTCGCTTGAGTAGTAAGAATAGGGCCCTTGATACCAGCACCCGTTCTCTCAACCTTTTTCTGATTTCCCAAGGATGCGCTTTTATGGGCAGATGGAGTTGAATCTCGCTCACGGGAAACCTCAAGAGAAAACACTATGTTACTCTCTTTTTGCTTCTGGATCTGATTACTCATATGGGACTCTGGAAACGGAAGTCTTTGATATTGAGGCATCTTTGGAAGAAGGACCTGTACGGATTGACTGTATTCTGGCAATAGAAGTTTTGGATATTGCCGTGGTTCAGGAAGGAGTTTTGTCGCTTGAGCAGTATGAGGATCACCACCACTGACATTTTTCGCAATTTTATGCTGCCTGAGACGTACATCTTCTTTGGCGGGCTGGCTTGGAGCTTGCGGGCCGAACGTGGAAGGAGGAAGCTTCCCCTACATCATGAAAAGTTAGCATATCCTCTGGCCAGACAGGAACGTATGTCAATGTACCTGGCATGGCATATATGATGGCTGGAAGAAGGGGATTCCTTTAGATGGCTGGCTTGAATTTCCCGTAGGATTGTGCAGCACTCTTGGATATCGAGATTGAAGCCATTTGATATAGTAAGATAGACCAGGCATGTCGAATATAGGTCCTGCTGTACCAGGGAAGTATTCTGTATACACGAAGAGCAAGAGTTGCCAACTTGTTGCCGGCCAAGTTGGTGCTGATTGATTGATGAAAAGGCTGATGATCTAAAGAGTCTATACAAAGAAAGGATGCATAACAGTGCATCAGGTGACTGATGTGAAAGAAAGGAAAACAGCGCAAATGCCAAAAAGCCGATATCAGTTACCAAATCATGAAGTTTCTTTGAGTCCTCACAACGCCTATCTGGGAAGCGGAGTGATACCAGCGGTATACCCTAGCAAATCGAACGAACCTACGGATAATATACTAAAGCAACATGAAACCCCCCCCCTCCCTCCTAAATAGATGTTAGCTAATCAATGCTGTACTAGTATTGTCAGGGACTCCACATATCAGTAGCTCCTAGGTCACTATACTATTTTTCAAATATCGTAGTCAACCGTATGGTAGAGGTCTCCAACAACAAAAGTACGTCTGCTAGAAAGCACAGGTATGCTTCCTCTATTGATGAAAAATTGGCTCTATGTATCCCCATTGCATGTCTCATTGTCTCGTATTAATTGGAACTGTGTCCTTGTTTGTCACCATTCATTTATGACACTCGTTCTTTTTCTTAATGCAGCTTGTTGTAAAGCGGCGCTAAGCGTATAGCCACATAGAGTAGCCATGTCGAGGGTGCCCCGCTCAGGATGCGGACTCCCAATACTGGATTCACTGGCAAGCAGTACCTTTGCATGTTCTCTGGTGTGTTTGCTTTACAACGAACAAATATGCTAATCGTACATGGCAACGTACTCAAGTCTAGCGGTGTATTCGTACTCTTTGGGTGCCATGTCGTATAGAACCCCGATCCTAGACTTCCTGTGCATGGCTTCATCAGGTAAATAACACTGTGATGCCACGCTGCTGTCTCGCTGGTTTGTCTGAAGATTGGTCGGCTCGACATTTTCCATCTTAATGGGGTCGAGGAACGGCGGAATGATTTCCGACCCAGCTTCCTCGCAACATGAACTTAATATTCGGGGTAGGTCTTCGGTACCTTTCATGAGGAACGTGGTAAAAGCGCCGATTAAAATACTCTAACGATCCTTAAATCCACCATGTGCCCTCTTCCAATTTCCGACTGTCCAGTGTACTCAAGGCTCTCTGCCTCGGTATGACATAAATATGGACAGTGTTAGTTCTAGGATGATATTGGTGAGCTAGTGCTGATAAGTGATTGGTCTTCCACTATTGTAATGGCCCTTAACACTGCCGGTCCTAAATGAGGGTTTGCCGAGCAGTATCAGTGTAAGCACTAACCGACACTGTGCTGGCGAGACAGTATCAATGCGTGCGTCCATTTAGAAGAGGCTTAAACTTCAAACATCTAGACCGAAGGCAACTTTTAGAAACAAGAAGGAAATACCATTGTGATTAACCTACTATGGTTTAAAGCCGATTTCAAAAAGCTCGGCTGTCTGCTATCTCGACGGTGGTACGTCTAGATTTGCGCCGAGACATTGGTTTTTCAACAGAGGAAGATTACTTCCTCAATCATCTGAAGATAGCTTCCATCGCGAGCTAGAATGCTGCCAATTCCCCAAGCCCATCTTGTGATAGGGGCTTTTCCAGGCAATCACAGGATCGTTAGAGATTTATACTAAGCCACCGACAATTCTCGTGTCTTCTCAGCTAATGGAATCGTCCACGCTCATTTGCAAATAGGCCAGGCAGCAGAACTTCTGTGTCCAAGAAGCGAGTTTTGCTCCAAGTACACAGGCTGATATTCGAGTGAGTTCATCTGGTTTATCTGGATGAGTCCAATTCCAAAAGAGCGCACTCTCGAGGGCCTTCTGGATGCTCTTCAGTATCCATTAGAATACTACCTGGATAATAACCACCCTGGAGCTCTTATCATCACTTATCGTTTTTCTTGAAATGTCAAAATGTATCTGAATTAACCTCTGGTGCCCTTCTGCCATGGTGTTTTGTATGTGGAGCATACAGCAGCTCTTTCTTTGAGGTTACAGTCATGTTTAACAGAATAGTCGCTAACACCCGTTTGGATACCATTGACCTTTGAGTCAATGCTCAATGCAGTAGTTATATAAGTCAACTCTTTGTAGAATAGAAAGAGTGGAGTGATTGTCATTGATATTGTTCTCAGCCATTGTCTCTCTGCCTCAGGCGGTGACATGCCCCACACGTGCACCTCAACGACCGTTTATTTCATCGCTTCGCCCATTCACTTCTTCAACGTCGCCGTCTCTTTTAGTTTAACAGTCTCTACGAAAAATAAACAGGTACTTAGAACGTCTCTTCTGCTATTGAGTCAATCATCTACGGTACATCGCCTGAGCGCAGTGTTTGGTCATATCAAGACTCCGCGACGACAATTGTTTGACTCTCAGCAAACCACCCGGAATTCTTGCATTGGATGTTTATAACCATTTGGCTTGACTCTCTCGCATATCAAAACTGCATATTCATCTAAAATGGCGGGCAAATACTCCTCAGACCCCGAATGGGCAAACATCCAGCCCATTCCCCTAAACGACGGCTCGGACTCGGGATCTCTCCCTCTAGCAACTATTGCCTACGCGGCTGATTACCTCGAGGCCATGTCGTACTTGCGTGCAGTGATGGCTGCCAACGAGATGTCGGACCGGGCGTTGAAGTTGACGGAGGATATCATCTCACTGAACCCGGCGCATTATACAGTATGGTACGTTTACTTTGTGTCCGTTGAATTGAATGTTACTGACTACGTTGGCAGGATCTACCGGGCAAAGATTCTCTTCGCTCTGGAGAAAGATCTGCTCGAGGAACTTGAGTGGTTAAACGGCGTGTCCTTGACGTACCTAAAGAACTACCAGATTTGGTATGTTCACCTCCACCCATAGCGTACAAATATCTATCTAACAGTGAACAGGCACCACCGCCAAGTTCTCATGTCCAGCACAACCCATTTCCCCACCCTCCCTCCCAAAGAATCTTCCTTCCTAATGGAAATGTTCGCCCAAGACTCCAAAAACTATCACGTCTGGACCTACCGCCACTGGCTCGTCCGCCACTTCAAGCTCTGGGATCACCCCGTCGAACTCGCAGATGTCGAGTCCCTTATCAACACTGACGTCCGCAACAACTCTGCCTGGAACCACCGCTTCATGCTACGCTTCGGACCCCGCGATGACCAGCACGCCGCGGGGATGCCGAATGGCGATGCACCCGGTTCTGAGAAGGGGAGGATGGCGGTTGTTGATGAGGATGTTGTGGATGGGGAGTTGGGGTATGCAAAGGCGAAGATTGTGCGGGCACCGGAGAATCGGAGCCCGTGGGCTTATGCGAGGGGAGTGTTGAGGGCGGCGGATCGGGGGTTGGAAGAGTGGAGGGAGTTTGTGGGGAAATTTGTGATTGTGAAGGAGGATGGGGAGGTTGTTGTTAAGAGTACGCATGCGCTGGAGTGGTTGGCAGATGTGTATGCGCGGGAGAGGAAGGAGGAGGCGGTTCGGATGCTTACGCTCTTGAGGGAGAAATATGATCCGATTAGGACGAATTATTGGGATTATCGAATTCAGATGATATCTTCTGCGGTTTGATTGGGGTAATTTGGTTTGCATTGCATGGTGTGATATATTTATCTTGAATTTGGATCTAAAGAATTGAAGAATCTATTCTCTTTAACTGAGAACCAACATGCTGAATCAAACAAAAGGTATCAAAACAAATATTATGCATCGTACGCGATTTTCAAACGCAATGCCCGCCAATAAACCCAGAAAAAGCAACAAAAAGCCAACAGAAAGTAATCACTACTCACCCCATCCCTCTCGCAACATTTTCCTCCACTCCACAGCAACATCAACAGAAACATTACTCCCACCACAAACAACAATCACCACACGACTCTCGGAGTTCAAGTCCGGCACCAACTGCTTCAGCTTCGATTGCAATGAACCAGTCTCACCCGATACCGACGACGGCAAGGATTTGGTACTGAAAGACGAAGATGCGGAGTGGCTATACTCCGTATCAGACTCATTCTCGACAGAAGACCGATCATCCCCATACCCTTCGTCAGATGAAGACCTCTTCCGCTTCTTGCTGATCATAGCCGCACGCGCTCTGCCGGCATCGCCAACGGCAGCTTCAACGCAGACACCGCATGCTAATTCCACGAGCAAACGCTCATCATCAGCCAGACGAAGCGAACCACGTGCCGCGTCTGCATCTGACAAAACGGCGCTGTGCACTTTCAGCCCCGGTGGCGGGGAGAGGGCGTAGTTGAATGTCTTTTCAGAAACGCGGACGCAGCCAAGAGAGATAGCTTGGGATGTAATTTTAGAGAGCGAGATGTGAGATTTCTGAGCCATGGCTTGGGCGAGGGAGTCGGTGCCTAAGGTTTCAATGGCGAGAAGGTGGATGTCTTTCTTGGAAACAGGGAGGTGCTTCTTCTGGCGTTCACGTTCAAGACCCATGATCAAACCGTTGAGGAGGCCTCCGCCACCAACACTGCAGATGATTGCATCAAGGGGAAGTGGTCTGTCGTGGTAAGATTCCACAGACGCAGATGCAGGAAGCTGAGTGGCGAGTTCATCGACAATAGTGCTGTTCCCCTGCCAAATCGGCTCATTATCAAACGGATGCAGCGCAACCTTAACCACATCTTCACTCTCCCCCTCCCCAACCTCCTTCATAAGCACCTCCTTCATAAACTCTCCTGCCTCAGAAATCGTCTCGCCATGCTGCACCACGCTAACCGCCCCCGCCGTCCGCAACCGCTCTACCATCATCGGCTTCGTGCTCGTCGGCAACACAACCGTACACGGGTACCCCAGGCTCCTGGATGCGCAGACAGCAGCAAGACCCGCGTTTCCACCGGACGAGGCGTAGAAGTGCACGGGGCGGCCTGCGTGCGCTGGGTTCTTCAGGTGTGAGAGGATTTGGTTGCCCATGGCGCGGGACTTGAAGGAGCCGCTTGGCTGGACGTTTTCGAGTTTGAGGAAGATGCGGCAGCCTGCTGCGCGGGAGAGAGAGGCAGATTCGACGAGAGGGGTTTGGATCCATGGGGTTTGAGGGATGGGGGTTGTGGCTGTTCCTGGGGCGATGCTTCCCATGGTGACTTGTCGCCCTTTATGAGGACTGGGATGACTTGTGGGTGTGAGGTACTGGAAAAAAGAAGGATGAGATAGTGTTCCAGAATAGGCAGGATCAATTGTGTAGATTGTGTTTGAATCAGGGTTTAGAGATATGGAACAGATACTTGGTACAGATAGAGTGAAGAAAGAGAAAGGCAAAGAATATACAAGGCCTCACTGTTCTGGATTGTTTCAATGAATATGATTCAATCCATCTGTGCAACCGGTTCTGATATACAAATGGCGACTTCCCGATGATAACCCTCAATAGTTTACCGCGGGGAACTTCCGAGTTTCCCGCCCCGATCCTCTATCAACCCTCGCCATGTTGCCTCCCGAATCCGATTTTCCGTTGAGTAACTTTGAGGAAGAATGCGCAAGATAAGCCATTGGCTGTGACATGCCCACGGGGAACAAAGATCCCATTATCGTTTCGCATAGGGTATGCACTCCGTATGACCTTGGTGGAATAAGGGCTGACCCAGAACAGGTAAGTCATACTCCTGGGGGAAAGACAACGCGAGCCTCGGAACCGTAATCCCTTACGTTCTTGTGGAGAATAAGGAGGAACACCGCAAGTCATAAGTAAGAAAAAACCGCGTTGCATGTTTTGTGATTGGATTGAGCCAGTTCTTCTTATCAAATCGAATTCCGGGGTCCGGTTTATTCTTCGATGACAAGGGGCGGAAAAAGGATGCTCTTTTTGATACCTTCCCCATACTCTGCATCGGAACCGAACCCGGCGTCTGTGAAGCTTCGCTTAGAATTATCTACGCGGAGAATATTGAGCAGATCTTGCGACTTGTTAGGCATGAACGGTTGCAATAGAATGGCCGAGATTCGTAGCGATTCCGCCACGGTGTAGAGGATCCTCTGCGACTCTGGCCGGGCCTTCCATGGTTCCGCGGCATGGAAGTATTTGTTTGTCTAAAAAAATCCGATAGTCAGCATGGATAAGATAGGTCATATGATAAGATAAGGTCGTATGACGGGTCATTCCTCACCTTCTCAACAATTGATACGATATCCTGCAGGGCGGAACGAGGGTTCAAATTCTCCATGTGTTCGGCCACTTTGCTGGGAATTTGCTCTAGAAACGATTGGTGCTCTTGGTCCAGAGCTGTGGCTGGCGGGAGCTTATCAGTGGCGGCATTGATAATGTACGACCGCAAATTCCCCTTTGCGCAACCAATTGTGCGGTGTGCGAGATTGCCCATTCCGCTTTGAAGAACCTTCTTATAATCCCTGATAATGTAGGCGTTGTCATAATCGGAATCTCCATCGAAGCCTCCCTGGTATGCAAGGAAGAAGCGCATCGTATCAACGCCAAAGCGATCGATAGCAAAGAAGGGGTTCACGACGTTTCCGGTTGATTTCGACATTTTCTCATGGTTCATGGTCCAATGACCGTGTACAAGAACATTACGCGGAAGAGGAAGATCCAAAGCCATGAGGAAAGCCGGCCAATAAACGCAGTGGAAGCTGCGCGCAGTTGTTAGCTTTGACCTACCCTTCACAGGAAGTACACCTACCGAACGATATCTTTGCCGACCACATGCACATCGGCTGGCCATCCAAATTGGCCTTCTTGACCTGGTGGGAATGGATATCCCGCCTTGGTCAGGTAGTTAACGAGCGCATCCAGCCAAACGTAGATGGTCTGTGTTTCGTCGCCGGGAACGCGAATTCCCCAATTCAGTCGCTCGACGGGTCTGGAGATGGAGAGATCTTGGAGATTCGTAGTGACGGATTTAATGATGTCAGGCACATAGTTCCCAGGGGTGACAAAGTTGTTTTCATACAACTCGAGCAGGCGGTCTTGGAAGGCAGTCAAGCGGAAATGGTAATTCGTTTCAGATGACCACTCCACTTCCTTTCCGGTCTCGACGGAGACCATTCGTTTTCTCCCGGTAGACGGATCCAATGAGTTTTGCACCTGCGATGGTGGGTAGAAAGTTTCGTCGCTGACAGAGTACCACCCCTCATGTTTCGCAGTATAGATGTAGCCTCGGTGATTGAGCATTTCCTGTATCATCAGCTTCTATTATCTCGAATCATCTCTCCAGGACTCACCCAAAAGTAATGAACCGCTTCCCTGTGTGCTGGGTCGGTGGTTCGAATAAAATGGTTATTGTCGATATTCGCGGCTTTCGCTAGGGCCTAAATCGGAACGATGTTAGGTTACGGCCATACATCGACAAACGCCATAAAGTGCACACCTCGAACGTCTTGAAATTCCTATCGCAGAAAGCTTGGGTATCCATTCCCGCTGCGAGAGCAGCTTGTTGAATCTACCCATTGTCAACGCCTGGCACAACTGCCGTAGGTCAATCTCCCTACCTTCATTCCATGCTCGTCGGTCCCGGTTAAAAGCTGAGCGTCTTCCTCCCCAAGAAGGACCCGCCATCGCTTTATGATATCGGCGATCACCATGGTATAGAAATGACCGACATGAGGAGCTGTCCAGCACAATCTGTCAGTATTTCGCGGTACAATTCCCCAAATGACGGAAGAACATACAAGAATTAACGTAGAAAATCGGAGTAGTAACATAGTAAGGCTTCTTCTTCGACAGTTCATCCTGAAGCGCTGTTGTCGTCGCAAACCTGCGCGGAGAGCCCAACCCGGCCGGTCGGACGTTTCTGCAAGAGGCACATTTCCACGAAGGCTGTCTGTAAGCCAGGAGTTGGGAGGCCCACGAAATAGCGCGGAATTCTCTCCTTGGAAACGCCATTGGCAAGTGGGAAGAAGTTGTTTATAGCAGTTGTTGGGTAGGATTTGTTTCCGTTGTCGGCGCGGGAGAATCTCCGGCAAAAGCTCCGAGCTGCCAATTTTTCGGCGATTGCTTTTGTTTTCCATTCCGACAGACAGCTCAACAACGTCGCTGTGCCCGATTCTTTGCGAGTATTTTGTTTTTTGGATTTCCTGCGAGTGCTTGCTTGTTCGCAGACATCAGACGAACCATTTCCATCTGCCACCGTTTCAGCATACAAGATGGCCCCCTCGAGCGATGACGTCCTGACCAAGGTGTCTACGGATGGTTTGTGATCGCAGAACAGAGTATTTACGCGCTATTCCCAGATTTCTAACTATGATATGTGCAGCTGCCACCGAGTTCGTCCAGTCGTTTTACCCCGCGCTCCAGAAAAACCGCGCCGCGATAGCTTCGTTCTACAGCCAACCCACCTCGACGATCCTCTTCAACGGGAACGCAGTCGCCGATGGATACGCCGTCCAAGATATCTTCGTCAACCAGATGCCTCCGGCTCACTATGAAGTCCAGTCCTTTGATTGCCAGATCATCAACCAGGCGTACCCTACCCCCACCCCGACTGGGACGAAAGCCCCGAATGAGACAACAGTCAAGGATATGTCGATACTGGTTATCATCAGCGGATACGTGCGATTTGGCGAGTCGAGAGACCTGCCGCAACGGGGTTTCAGCGAGACGTTTGTTCTTGTACCGAACCCGGCCGCGGAGGGTGGGAAGGTGAAGCAAGTGAAGGAGTGGCTTATCTACACCCAGAACTTCCGTCTCGTTGTCTGAAATTTTGTTTTCTACGGTAAACACGGGTTGGCTTGCAGTGAAATCTGCTCATAAGGTTCATATATCGATATTTGCTGCAAAGGGGAACAATGGTGCAACGCGGGGTATAACAGGAAAAGCAGACGAGAAACACGGGGACAGAAGGTGAAACTGTGCGCGTATTCAATCGCTACTGGCCGGAAGACCTGGGCACACGCAAGTTTGCTTTGACTCGCTCGAGTAACTCTTCACGCGTGGCTCTGGCGCTGGGCAAAAGGCCTCTCTGAATATTGTCAGCATTTATATCGGCATGTGAATGAGGGGAAACGCGTACCAAGCGGAGCCACCTCTTCAACTCATCGGCTGTCCAGTCTTCAGGGTCTTTTTTAAAATCAGCGTCAGTGACAAATCGACGGGATTTCTTATCCTACCCCCAGTCGGATCTTGCTCCGCAGGAAACATGTCGTTACCCCAGATAGCCCACACCGCGGCGGCTGAGATCATCCCGGTGAATCCTGAAATGACTTTAGCTAGGTGTTTCGATGTTTTATTGTTATTCCAAATGAAGAAATGTATACCCAGAAATAGATTCTGGAGAGATTTGTTAGTCAATGTCCATAAGTACATGTGATTAAATACCTTGGAATTCATGGCCCGATCCAATGGAGTAGGCATCTTGAATCGTAATAGCACTAAAGTCTAAGGCCTTTCAGATTACGATGATAATTGGTATAATAGTTAAGAATAAATAATGGAATGGAATCTTTTTGGTCGATAGAAGTTGGCCGTTGAGTCAGGTTAGCCTCTTGCAGAAATAACGTGGCACCGCCACTAGACTGACTACGCCACAATATACAACCCCCAGATTAGTATAACTGGAGTACAACTGCTCAATGTCAATTAATGGGTAAAAATCTACTATTTGAACTATGGCATAATACTGGACAACGTATATGCTATTGTGGGTTCCGTCCTGCTGCCGGCCTGCCCTGTTCCTTCTTAACTGTGCATCAGACTATTCACCCGCACCTTCCCTAGTAGTGTCCAAGATGGGAGGCAGACAGGAACTAGACCAATGCCAAAGCATTAGGATCTCTCATCTGTCTATCGCCTCGTTCATCCAACCAAGTCATTCGTTTCGTTCATTATCTTCATACCCGGCTGCCATACACTATTATTCCATTGACCATCGTTCTATACGGAGTACACGATACCATGGCTTTCCCTGGTCCTCATCACCCTCCGCAAGTCCCTAAACCTCCTAAGCTTCCGGTTCCTCTTACCACCGACTATTTCGACCAACGTTTACGACCTATCTTTATCCTCTGCATTGCTACGCTTTCGTTGACCTTGACCGTCTCTGTTGGATATGTGTATGTCTCACTTTGTTCTAGACCTGCCAGGTACTGACCAATACGCTGCTGTAGATACATATCGTGGAGACGATCCCGCAATCAGTACCGCAAAACGTCGACGACGCGGGGTCCATGGCCAACCCCCTCGGGCGATGGAGCGCCATCTCGTTCGGGCGACGAAGCGGATATCGAGAGCTATCCGTACACTATCAACGGCGCAGGCAGTCCTCCTGCAAGCACTCTGAATGCGGGCAACAATCCATACAGTACGGAACAATGGCAATGGATCTCGACCAGCCGCACCCCGGAAATGGAAACACCAGCCACAGGTGACTAATGACACCCGCACCGCCACGCGACCCAGGGTTTGCAAAGAGGCTAAACCCTAATTGCCAGAAGTTCCCGCACAATCGTCGCCGCCGCCTCGTCCCAAGCTGTCCGCCCGCTTGTTTGACCGTTTCCCAATCACCCGTCTCGATCTTCAAAACCACGACAGTCCGTCTCATAACCGTCAATCTTGCCCATCATGCCTCAAGAGGTCTCCGACATTAAGCAATTCATTGAGATTGCCCGGCGCCAGGACGCCTCCTGTACGTGATACCCGCCCGAGGTTCCCCCTCTTGTTGTTTACACCGTGGCGGAGCTACGGGGAGCTTTGTTCTGGAGAACGATCATATCTTCCCCCTACGTATTTGCTTGGAGATATGCTGACTATTGGATCCGAAATAGCCGCCCGCATTAAGCGCAACCGCAAGACCCAGCAGATCAAGTTTAAGGTCCGATGCAACCGCTTCCTCTACTCTCTGGTCCTGAAGGACTCCGACAAGGCCGACAAGCTTAAGCAGAGCTTGCCCCCATGTGTGTACCTCCCTACTATACCTCTCTACCACCCACGTCCATAATTCAAATATGAGGATGGAATTTTATACTGACGTCATTCGTTAAACAGCCCTCAAGGTCGTCGACGTCTCCAAGGGTGACAAGAAGAAGGCTCTGTAAATACGACCTCAAGATGAATTGAATAGGATGCCATTGGGGTCGGAGTGTGGCGCGTGCAATATTTTTAGTGCATGATCTTCAATGTCATATTTAGTTGGGGGTTGACATTCGGGAGTGATCCAAGGAATGGGCGTTGTCTTTTCTCGACTGCTTCATGATTTGGACATCCTTACATCTGGGTATCGGACAAAGGCCATTTCGGCGACCTGCATCTTCTGGACACCCGATGCCTGACATGTCTCCTCCATTATTCTTCCCCGGAGCTTCCTAGGTTCTACAACTTAATGAAAACAGTTGAAGACCATGGTTGCGCTATATTCGCTCGTATACCTTCCGCCTGTAGCCTTGTTCCCATATGCCTTGACTATATGGATTCAAGTAGATGAGTTGTTGAAGGGATTGTCATATGCACCGTCAATCGCAACCAGCTACTGTCAACTCTGCTGAGATCAGCAGCCAGAGCATTGCCTGTTACTTGCAATTATCGCCTTATCGTGAGTCCTCCGTATTGTCCAGGGTAGATGAAGCCGTTTCACCATGTGACCACGCGAGGTCTTGGCGCCAGGCCTTGAAACAACACCATTCTCTCCTGTCATCCTCTTCTCCCTCATTGGCAGCGCCCATCACAATGACAGAAAGGACGCGATGCAATGGCCGACTGCACTATTTTGACTCGAAACTCCGTTGACAGACGGAGCAAACCGCCCAACAAGTACTCGCTCCTATACAAATAAATGAAGGCACAAATTCCCGAATCATCCATAAAATACAGTGGGTTCCTAATTGCTGATCATTTCTCTATAGTTCTCAGCGCCGTTCCTGGTAGATTACTCCAGATTACCAGATCTCCCCTAATCGTGTTGGTCTGAGCTTTCGGTCATCCCTATTCGGGAACGCATGCCAGTCGGTTAGCCGAAAGAGACCGGGGGTTGTATATACCTGTGACTGGTGCTGCTATTATTACCTGCGATATTTGACAGGGTAGGGACTACTGTTGTGGGGATAATATCCGGACGTTACTTTCCGAAGGGACCTGGGGGATTGGCGGTGTTGGTGCAGGGGTTTTGTATTCTGAAGGCGCTTATTGGACTTGTGCTTCATTAAGAAGAAACTGGGTTCTTGCGGTCAGTTTATTACATGCCAGAGAAGGCTCGCTACGGAGTGCTGGTATGATGGTTGTCTTTGCCAGGGTCACTGATGTCTACACTGCATTTTACATAGCATATAGACATGAATTGCCTCGAAAAGTCGTTTTCTATAGGGTGCCATATGTCGACACCGTGAAGAAAAGTGGATCAGGCATCATATAGATACACCATGCCGGAACCAGAAAGATCTCGCCCTTATCAATTCAAGTCGAAACGCTGCCAAGAACAGTGGAGACAGCAATACTTAGGTATCAATATCGATATCAAGCTATGGCCAGGGCTCATTGAGATGGTTATAAAAGGCCCTTTTCTCGTTTTCTACCTGTGTTGAACCACTGTCCTCGCTCCATCCAGTTGATATTCCCATACATTCTTTTCTTGCCTTTGGTCGTTGCTGGTCTTCATCAGGGCTCTTTTGACTTCCGTCTTTCACTGTTTCGCTGTTTTCAATTAAACAAAACTTTCGCTCATTCGATATCATTGAAAATGGTTTTCTCCAAGATCGCTTGTGTCCTTGCCTCTGCCTCCATGGTTGCTGGCCACGGCTATGTTTCTGGTATCGTCGCTAACGGCCAATAGTATGTTGCCCCAAATACATATTGAAGAAGAACCAACTAACATCTCCAGCTACGGTGGCTACATCGTCGACACCTACGCCTACACCGACAATGCCCCCGACACCATCGGCTGGTCCACCCAAGCCACTGACCTCGGCTTCGTCTCCCCTGACAGCTACTCCTCCCCGGACATCATCTGTCACCAAGACGCCAAGCCCGGCGCCCTAACCGCCAACGTCAAGGCCGGCTCCAAGATCGAAATGCAGTGGACCGAGTGGCCCGAGTCCCACCACGGCCCCATCCTCAACTACCTGGCCCCCTGCAACGGCGACTGCTCCAAGGTCGACAAGACCAGCCTCAAGTTCTTCAAGATCGACCAGCAGGGCCTTATCGACGGCAGCAACGCCCCGGGTACCTGGGCAAGCGACAACATGATCGAGAACAACAACACGTACACGTTCTCGATGCCTGAGGCTGTCCCTGATGGCAACTATGTTCTGCGTCATGAGCTGATTGCGCTGCACTCGGCTGGCCAGGAGAATGGTGCGCAGAACTATGTCCAGTGTGTCAATGTTAAGGTTACTGGTGGTGGCAATGCTAGCCCGACTGGTACTGCTGGCGAGCAGTTGTACAAGGCTAGCGACAAGGGTATCAAGTTTGACATCTACTCGGACCTTAGCAGCTACCCTATGCCTGGTCCTGCTTTGTTCAACGCTAACTAAATGTATGTATCTCTTTATCGGGGATTTGGGTGCCCCTGCTAATGGTTCTCCAGTGAATTGCACGCTGGGCGTCGTCTCGGATATACTGCGGAAATCAACTGGTACTAAGGGCAGTCATGACAAGAAATATCCGAGAAATTCAAGAACATAACCATGGATAGCGTTCAACGAGCTAATCGTACTCTATAAATATATTTGCATCCTTTTGCGTATAAACAATCATAACTACATTATCATCTCACTCACCCTACAACATAATCCAACTCAACATACCCCCCAACCCCCCCTTCAGTCCCCTCCCTAACCCTCTCTCCTCCCAAATCCCCTCTCTCCCTCCTCAGCTCCACCTCCCCAAAATAATCTGCCTCCGCAGAAACCCTCCTAAACCCCACACTTTCAAAAAGCGCCAAACTGCCCGTATTCCCCTCTCCAATCTTCACGCTCAGACACGAAAACTTCCAATCCCCCTTTCCATCCCCCGTAAGCAAAACTTTGGACTTCTCCCCCACTGTCCCAAACGCAAATGTCGACGGCACAAATTCACCCAGGATCTCAGCCTCGTGTTCGATGATGTACCGCATAAAGCAGAGGAGTGCTGCCTTCCCGTAGCCTTGACGGTGGTTGCGGCGTTCTGCTATCATTAGTTCAATTTCGCCGATGATGAGGCGTTCTGTGGAGGAGGCGATGTCTTCGTCGACATCGCCTTCGTCGACGCGCAGGAAGAGGTTTATGTCACCGAGCATTTTGGACTCGGAGTCATCTTCTCTCGCCTTGATTGTTCTGTGGATACCTGGTCCCGGAACCGGGACTGAAGAGACGGGTTGACAGATGATGAATGTTAGTTTGTCGGGGTCTTGTCGCCAACTAAGTTGCATGCCGTATTCCTCCTCTAGTGTGAGGGGCTCAGAGGCGGTTGCTTGCTGAATTTCCTGCGTTTATAGTTAACATCTCTCTTTTCTTCTTTATGCATAATAACACGACTAAAAAGATACCTCATCTTTCATCCATTCGTGGTAGCGGGGAACATGCCAACGTGAATAGGGGACTAAAAGGATGGGAATGGTTGAGATGGCTGTTATGGATTTTTGTCTACCAAGTTAGGGATTTTTTTTTGTGGATGGAAATGTACGGTTGGGATGTTGCTGTTGCGGTGCATACCCGTGTGTTCGTTGAGCAGCATATTGCTATTGGCCCTTGGCCCTGTTCATTGGGGATGTTTGGGGTATTTTTTGAAGAGAGGAAGAGAGATAAAGTCATTTGTGGGTCTTGGCATTTTTTTTCTATATATGCCCGTCTGTCTATACTCCGTGCGGGAAATACCTCAATGTGTAATCCATTATTCTAGTAAAACATACTAGACATCATTCTTTCTCCTCTTGTCCCCTAAAAATCCCAAATTTAACAACCTCCGCCTCCAAACTCTCCGTATCAACGAGTACCAACTCGCCTGTCTCCTGGAACCGAGGAACACACAACACCCGCACGCGCTGAGTCGGCGCTTCATGGTCGGCGTCGGCCATTTCGGTGTCTGTGCCGTTTCCGTTAAGCGCGAGAGGGGGCTCTTCGCCTTCGATTAGGGCGGTTTTGAAGCGTGGTTGGTTGCCCGCGAAGAAGATGTGTGGGCAGGAGTGGAGGACGAAGGGGTCGTGGGTTTGGAAAGGGTAGGACCCTGTTTTTGTTAGCATGCGCGCACGCATAGAATGAGATGAAAGGGAACGTACAGATTGTGTCTGGTGCAGTGGGCACACCGCACCTCCATCGGAGCATAGACTCCATGACACGGATCCGCGACTCGACGTCGCCGTTCTTCGCGTCTTCGTTCCCGTCGTCCAGGAAATCCAGATATCGGAGTACATCGTCGACATTTTGTCCGCTGCTTCCCCATACCCGCCATCCTTCTACATCGCCTTCCCATGGATTCGTCACGCTGTCCAACCAGCCCGCTTCGGGGGTCTGGTTGTCGGCCGATGGCGGCGGACCACAGTAAGCCCGTGCTTGCGGGAACATGGCGCGGTGGATGCCTTGTTGCGGGAGGGAGAAGTTGGCCGGGTCAGTTTCGCCGGGCATAAGCGTTATGGGGATACTGGGGAGGATCTCTGCGAGGAACGAGTCGAGCTGGTTGATCGGGGATGCGTTGTATGCGGAGGCGTCGTAGCCGTATTTCTTCGTTCCGGCCTTTTTTGCAGCGACATTTTCTGTCGAAGCTGCGGCTGCTGTGACGTTCGCGCCGAGCGAGTTACCCGCGATGACGAGTCTGGTAATTGCAGACGCATCGGGCGGTGCACCCTCATTTTCATTCGGTGTCCCTGTATACCCGAGAAGATAGTCCGTCAAGAGATCCAAAGCCAGTGTATCGCTCGAACTTCCCGTAATCCCAAGACCACTGACGAATGCAATCTTCCCTTTCTTTTCTGTCTCCGGTGCTTGACCACGCTCCCACCGATGCGGTTGTCGAGCTAGATCCGGAACCTTAATATCAACCACCTCGAAATCACCATTCGAGTTCTCCGTTCCCAATACTGCAATCACAGCGCCGGTGGCTAGTTGTGTCGATCGGAGTAGACTTCCTGTTAAGCGTAGACGACCCGATTCATCCTCCAGCATATATTGCGTTGCTTCGGGGTTCGAGGAGTCGATATATGTGCGTCGGGGGGCGGGTGCTAGTGTGAAGTTCTAGTAACATTAGCCCTGTCCCTTGTATCGACAACAAGTAAGATCACCTCTTTCGTCAAATCCTCTAGAATATTCGGCTTCAGCGGCATATCCATGTATATCGTCCCGGCCACCCAGCACAGCTCTCCCTGTCTCACATCTAGCACTCGTTCCACACGACGAGCACGTTCCCCTGCAATCTTTCCATATCGTCAGATACGTATATCCTATATTCAAGCGAGTGTAAGCACATACGCTAAACCCATCCCACGTCTCCGCTGCAACTTGTTCCGCGGCGGGTTTTAACCGGGCAAGTCGGAGGAAGTACATGTCGCCATATTGCTGTTTATAATGCTTCTCCTGCCCACTTGGCAGCTTGAATGTGTGTAGTGGTTTGTAGTGTGAGGGGTTGCGATAGGCTGGCGCATATTCTTCGTCGCTGTAGGATTGTCGGGTTAGTTAATGTGATTGAGTTGGGGGGAGGTTGATGGACGGACTTTGGGGGACAGAGGAAGTCGTTATTTGCGTCGCCATTGGCCATTTCCATTTCTCTTCATTAGGGTGTTGTGATGCGATTGTTGGGGAGGAAATGAAGATATCACTGTGGTTGTCGATATGCGGACGCGGATCACGCGTCGTTTTGGCGTCGGTAATTACAGTACCGCTTTCGGCAGTATTCAGCAGCTATTATTTAGTACTTGATGGTAGAGGAAGCAGCTCAGATATAATGAATTATATTTAGCTAGTATATACAGGAATTGCTAGGAATTTGGAACCCAATGCCGTATGGCAGCTATTTACATCAGACGACACTAACAAGCTATAGATGCAGTACAGACAAGAAGATTGACATGAGGAGACCTGCTGTGCTCAATGACCGGCCTCTATCTGCCATCGCCGTCACATTTGCTGCCATGACGCGCTCAGTGACCGTCGTAGTGGTAGTCGCTGTAGCCACGTTATTATTGGGTCTGGGGTAAGATATCAGCTAGTTGCACCGCATATAACAGCATTTAAACTCACTGGGTAGCAGTTCTATTGCCGGATACTCCTGGCGCTTGTCTCAATTCATGCGTAAACTCTCGGACAGTCGTTGTCACAGTCGCTGCTTTGGTCTTTCGCGGTACGCCCAATGTCTCTATCGATTGCGTTTGTGGTTGTGGTCTATCGGCAACAGGCCCCAGGGGTGGATGGTAGTATCCAACTGCACCCTCGGGCGCAGTGATCAGGGATCCGGGGAGACTTCTTCTTAGCCGGGAAAGGTGATGGGAGAAAGAGCCGATTTGGAACGAGGACGCGACAACACAAGTTAATAAACTGATTGTGATGAAGCTGTACAGCAAGCTTTCGCAGACTCGTGTTACCCTCATATTGGAATCGCGAAGCGCTTTATCGAGATAACGCATGGACAGCAGACAGACATGATGGGAAGTGATATAATATGAAGGCCCAAGACGCCCGGATGGCACATAAACACTGGCACGTAGCTATTAGAGACACAAACAGTGTTAAGAATGAGGCCCAATCAAATGGCCGTGGATTCTGACCACTGGGGTATTCGATCGCATCTTCAGTTCCAATGAAAGACAATGCCACAATAAAAAGGCGCCAAAGGATGTCGAGGAGAGTCAAAACAAGTCAAGAACCAATTGGCTTGGAATTGACTCATCTTATCATGTATCTGAACAATTCTGCCCCGCGAGTATGTGGCAAGTCAGTAACCAGTATGTATCTCCCACGACCCCTTGATCAAATCGAGCACAAAAGCTCGATGGCTCGCATATCTGAGTTCTGCAATGCTTGTCAAAGATATTCTCGCGTGAGGTGTCATTTCCAACTCCTGCGCATTCCCGTCTGAGACGTTCGAGCCGTGGGGATATGGAGGCATTCAAGGCGGTCACAATTGACAATCCCTTCATTTTCTGAGTTTGACCTAGGCAAATAACAAAGCCTTGGACTCCGCGTATCTCTTGTTTATCCTGGATCATTCCGTCGCTGTTCCACTATCATCCATCCCCAGTCGACTAAGTTCCTAACGGATCCCCTTCCCCCCACCAAGGGTACCCTAAGGCAATGGACCGACAGTCCTCAAATCCAAATGGGGCCATTCTTGCGAGTAAATTTGTCGATTGATAAGCCTAAAAGAACATGTAGACAACATGGAGGGGAAAACAGACAGAATGGTAGTTGAAGCGAATGAGCCTCGGCTCGGTTCCGGACCATCTGGGGTCTCCGCACTCTCCGCATTTGTAGCAATCGAGTCTCCATCAACTTAAAAGCATCGATTGATTAGGAGAATAATCTTTTGAAAATTCTGATGAAAGATCCAAATTTTGATTGATTATTCTTAATAGGCAGTCTACTTGCGAGCCAATTGGTATGTCCACAATCACCCCTATTGTACACGATACTGACCACCCCAAGTTCACCTCCAGTCTCAACAGAAAACCATCAGCATGTCCCTCCAAACACCTCTCTGTCCCCTCCTCAACATTCAACACCCCATCCTTCTCGCAGGAATGGCCCGCGCCTCAAGCGCCCCCCTCGCCGCCGCCGTTTCCAACGCTGGCGGTCTAGGCACAATCGGCGGCCTAGGCTACACCCCCTCCCAACTCTCCGAAATGCTCACAGAGCTCAAATCCCTTCTCCGCTCACCCAACCTCCCCTTCGGCGTTGATCTGGCCCTCCCCCAGGTTGGAGGTAATGCGCGCGCGACGAACCACGATTACACGCATGGGCAGTTGGATGAGTTGATTGAGGTTGTTATTGCGCATGGGGCGAATTTGTTTGTTTCCGCTGTTGGTGTTCCGCCCGAGCGGACAATTAAGCGGTTACATGAGGCGGGAATTTTAGTGATGAATATGGTTGGCGCACCGAAGCATGCGGAGAAGGCATTGAGATTGGGGGTTGACATGGTGTGTGCGCAGGGTGGGGAGGGGGGCGGGCATACGGGGGATATACCATTTTCTGTTCTTGTTCCTGCGGTTGTGGATGTGGCGAGACGGTTTAAGAGTCCGTTGACTGGCGGGCCGGCGCTGGTTGTTGCTGCGGGGGGTGTTAATGATGGGAGGAGTTTGGCGGCGGCGTTGATGTTGGGTGCTGCGGGGGTTTGGGTTGGGACGAGGTTTGTTGCGGCTGAGGAAAGTGGTGCTAGTCGATTGCACAAGGAAGCTGTTGTGGGTGCGAGGTATGGGGATACCAAGCGGACGTTGGTTATTTCGGGACGGCCGCTGCGGATGCTGCCGAATGAGTATGTTAAGGAATGGGAGAAACGGCCGGATGAGATTGCGCGGTTGACTGCTAAGGGCGTCGTTCCTATTGAGCATGACTTTGAGAACGACAAGGAGGTTGAAATCCCGTTTTTGATGGGCGATGTCTCAGCCATTATCCAGGAAATCAAACCGGCCGGTGTGATTGTCCGAGAAATGGTCCAGCAGGCTGTGGCCATGTTGAGACAAGGTGGTTCATATATCACCAGTGAACCAGCAAGTAAACTATAGCTCCGGGTTACCTTACTTCGAGATGTACATACTAACAGATACCAACTCGGTTTCTCGATTCAATGCATTGTAGTAGAATAATCCATGGCCGTGGTATGAGAGACATGCTTTTGACGTAAATAACATGATACGTACTTGTACAGGGACAACAGCAGGAAGCAGACAAACCCGGAACCCGTACAACTAACCAGACACACTTCAGCCCTGGCCGGTCAGGAGACCAACGTCAGGACAATGCGAAACGATTGAGATGCTTGTCTACATCCGCTGTATTCCATTTCTTTTCCAGGTTTCCCCATCCCCTGTCTTCTTAGCAAATCAAACCAATAAATAAAACAAACTTGAATTGACAGTGAGATTCACTAGCACAAGCCACGACAGAAAAGCTTTCCAACAAGTGCTGGCTACAAGTGCATTATGTGGCCTTCTTATCACCAAAACAGAGAGCACATGTTTTTTTGTTTTTGTTCCTTTTGTTCTCAAAACATTGTTGATGTTGTTCGATCTGAGTAGTCGCTAGTGACATCCATTGATCATGGCCTTGTTCCCATTCGCTGCTCGTGCCTCCAAAAGTTGTGGCGGCGGTGGTGGGCCAAAGACAGGCTTCTCAGGTTGCTGGGGAATGTTGCCCCCATTGAGATCCCGGCCTGCATGCTCAAGCTCGTACTCCTCGTCGCTAATATCCTCGTCATCCTCCTCATCTTCATAGTCCTCATCGTATTCGCTTTCTGTCCCCTCATCGTCACCGTCCAGGTCGGCCGGAAGACCTTGACCACGACCTTGTGCTTGCATTCGTCGACACAGTGCCTCCAAGTGGTGACTCTTCTTCCGCCATTTTTCCAGTTCCTCATGGTTTCGTGTGCGCTCCTCTGCCATCTCGAGTATATTGCGGTTCGTTTGGTCGTGTTTTCGGGTAAGCGTAAGGTTCTCCTTCTCCAGGCGCTTTGTCTTTTTCGACATTTCCTCCATTTCTTTGCGGAAAGTGAGAAAGAGTTCGTTGCTGTTATTCAGTGTATCCTCCACCTAAAATATTATTATTACCAGCAGGTCATAACAGAGGGGCAGAGCCAGCAGAGCAACCATACCTGCTTAAACTTTTCCACGTAGATATTGAGCTGACTACGCAGTTCAGCCTCTGTATGCGAAAACGTCGAAACCTGGGAGCTCAGCGCACGACAACGGGCGGCTTCGTTCTCAGCAGCACGGCGCTGCTCTTCGTACTTGGCGGTAAGGCACTGTATCTCTGCGTCTTTGCTGCGTAAGAGGGCCTTGTAGTGTAACTCGCGCATTTCAAATTTTTCCCCAATGGTTTTAATCTTGGCACGTAAACTGTCGCATAATGTCAGCGGGCAAGGGAAAGAGGCTGTGATATTTGTGGCTCCGTCACTTACGCCTCGTCCAAGTCAATGTCCACCTTCTCATTGCGCGGATTTCCTTTGGCGGCCATGACATCTTGTATGTCATACAGAAGAGAGTCCAGACGTTCATTAACGATCAGTCGTGCCTTCTTCTCGGTTTCCTCCAGTTTCTTGTTCTCATCCTAGGCGGTATAGTCGTATTAGTCGAATGTTTTGTTTCGATGGTGCCTCGATTGAGATCGTAGCCGGATGGAGAAGTCCGCAAAAATCCGCTCAGCCCTGGATCGCCACTCACCTTGACCTTCTTGTTTTCCTTGGTAAGTTCCCTGCACAGCTTCTCCAATTTATCCTTCATGGTGACGGTCTTGTTCAATTCCGATTTGCCTTTGTCCTGGTCCTTCTGCAGTTGATCGGATCGTTTTTTACTCTTGGCATAGTCGCGATCCAGCTTCTTCATGTCGGCGAGAAGTTCGGTGTATTTCTTGTGGACGGTCTCGAGTCGGGTCATCGGGGACTCGATGTTGCTGAGCAACTGGTTCAGATCCCTCGTAGCCTTCTTGACTTCACGCTCTGTAGACGCAAATCATCAGTTAGGTAAATCTTTGCCCCGCCATACATGTAAACCCCACAAACCAAGGTCGACGAGAAATTGCTAGCGCATAACGAAAATTGCAAAGCAGAATCACGCACCAATTTCCGCTTCTTGATCCTTTTCCCCTGCTGCATCTTGCTCCAACTGTGAGATCTTGGCGGCTAGCAGTTTGGAGGTCTCATTGGGGTCCGCAACCTTCTTCCCCTTGTTCTTTTTCGACATTGCTGCGGAGGACATAGTGAATGGAGTCGGGGATTCGAGTTCTGGGGACAGTGGACTCGTAAACGATGATCGCGTGGGCAACTCCACGGAAGCCGAAAAGTGCGAGGACCACGGGAGGTGGGTTTAGCCGGTCACCGGACCAATCTGGAACGAAGGCGCAAAACGGCCTCAGAACGAGGATGGCGCTCAATCAAAAGCGAATCGACAACGGAGAGGAAAACGAATCGAGTCTAGCGGAAGTCTCAAGTTTCCCTCCAGGACTCGTCGGTTGAACTCGCACGGAGGATTCCACCAACGAAGAACTGGAAGACAACCAGAAACCAAAAGTGCCACAACGATGAACCGACGTTATTTCCTTTCACACACACAAACACGGATCAACTTGGTATAGCGAGGTCGACAGAAGACGAAGAACCACACTTATTCCCACACTTTTCGCACGTAGTCGAGGATCTTTTGCCTGGGGAAGAGGAGGATCGAATCCAATCGTCGGCGTTGATTAAGAGGGGATGCGCTAAACCGTTTTGGGCAATTGAGCTTGGCACGTCTTTTTGGGGCTGGTGGTGGCTGACTTCACTTCACTTGCTTCCGGCCACCGTCTGCTGTTTTCTTTTGATCGCTAATACAAGTCGCGGCTGGTATTTTCGCATTGACGCTTGCTAGACGCTTCTGGACCTGCTTACAGACAGTGTGGTCTCGCCCGTGGTGGTGACTCAGCTTCCGACCTCCGTCCGTTCGGTTCGCCGAAGCTTTCGATGTGCAGCCGGCAAAAGCGCAACTAGACAACATCTTCATTCCATCACTCTCGAGAGTTTGGTTTCGCATTCGTTTCACCAACCGGACAACTTGCGCCATGTTGCGTCCGTTCTTAGGAGCCAGCAAATGCCGGGTGCCCGTCTTGCGGCAACAGCTCGCCGGTAGTCGTGGACTCAAGTCGAACTATGATTTATCGCGATGGAGCCAGATCCGGAAGGCGTCGACAGTGACAAGTCTGGAGAACTTCCCTGGAGTAGGCGAGAAGCTTCATGGGTTTACAGTACAGGAGAAGAAACACGTACCGGAGCTACACCTGACAGCAGTGCGGTTAAGGCACGACAAAACCGATGCGGATTATATGCACGTGGCGAGGGACGATCAGAATAATGTCTTTGGGATAGGGTTCAAAACAAATCCGCCAGACTCTACAGGTGTGCCGCATATTCTAGAGCACACAACATTATGCGGAAGCAAAAAGTGAGAGCATCCCTTCTAGTCGTTATAACGGTGGAAGTACTGACTGAGATATTCTAATAGGTTTCCCATTCGCGATCCCTTCTTCAAGATGCTTCCCCGTTCTTTATCAAACTTCATGAACGCTTTTACTGCCTCCGACCATACCACATATCCTTTTGCCACGACGAACGCGCAAGACTTCCAAAATCTCCTATCGGTGTATCTCGACGCTAGTTTCCACCCTTTGCTTAAGGAAGAGGACTTCAGACAGGAAGGATGGCGCTTGGGGCCCGAGAACCCTCGTGCGATCGAAGAGGCTAAAGGAAAACTTACTCCGGAGGATATCCTGTTCAAGGGCGTTGTTTACAACGAGATGAAGGGCCAAATCTCGGATTCGAACTACCTTTACTATATTAAGTACAAGGAGAACATTATCCCCGCTCTCAACAACTCCGGCGGAGATCCTGAGTATATCACAGATCTCACGCACAAGCAATTGGTCGACTTTTCGAAGCGGAATTACCATCCTAGCAACGCCAAAATCTTCACCTACGGTGATATGCCTCTGGGAACCCACTTGGAGCAGATTGGCGATGTGTTGAATGGTTTCGACAAGGGCCAAGCTGATACGGACAATAAGAAGCCTATTGATCTCAAGCGTGGCCCGGTGAACGTCACCGTTCCAGGCCCTATCGATACATTCGCTGGGGAGGACAAACAGTTCAAGACTTCGACATCGTGGTATATGGGAGATTCAACTGATGTTGTTGAGACCTTCTCCAATGGCATTCTTTCTTCTCTACTCTTGGACGGGTTTGGCTCCCCAATGTATCGGACGTTGATCGAAAGCGGCTTGGGTTCATCTTTTACCCCCAACACTGGTCTTGATGCCTCGGGCAGGACACCGGTTTTCTCTGTTGGAGTCACTGGTGTCAGTGAACAGGATGCGCCTGCCGTGAAAGAGGCTATCCAGAAGGTTTATCAGGAGTCATTGTCCACCGGATTCAGTGACGAGAAGGTGCAGGGATTCTTGCACCAGTTGGAGCTGTCGCTGCGGCACAAAACGGCTAACTTCGGAGTCGGTGTTATGGACAAGACAATCTCCTCATGGCTGAACGGCTCCGACCCGATGAAGGAGCTTTCTTGGAATGAGGTCATTGACGAATTCAAGGCAAGATATGCCAAGGGTGGATATCTCGAATCCTTGCTGCAAAAGTACCTCATGAACGACCAATGTTTGACCTTCAACATGGTCGGTTCGCCCACATTCGGCAAGGAGCTTGATGACAAGGAAATGGTACGAAAAGAGAAGAAGTTTAATCAGCTTGTCGAGCAGCATGGATCCGTGGATAACGCCGTTGCCAAGCTTGCCGAAGAGGAGTTGCAGCTTCTCCAGGTCCAAGAAGCGGCGCAGAATGTCGATCTGAGCTGCTTGCCTTCGCTTCGTGTCAAGGACATCTCTAGGGAGAAGGAGCGCAAGCCAGTGCGGGAATCTCGCGTGGACGATGTCGACGTTGTCTGGCGCGAAGCCCCGACAAACGGCCTTACTTACTTCCAGGCGTTGAACGCCTTTGAGGGCCTTCCTGATGACCTTCGACTGCTCTTGCCGCTCTTCAATGACTGTATCATGCGGTTGGGCACTGCCAACAGGACTATGGAGCAATGGGAGGACCTTATCAAGCTAAAGACCGGTGGCGTGTCAACGTCGTCGTTCCAGGTTTCCTCTGCGACCGAGCTCGGCAGTTTCAAGGAAGGCCTTCAGTTGTCCGGATTTGCCCTGGATCAGAACATCCCCGAGATGCTCGAGATCTTCTCTGCCCTGATCACCGAAACTGACTTCATGAGTCCTTACGCTCCCGCCATGATTCAGGAACTCTTGCGACTGGTCACAAATGGCGCATTGGACTCCGTTGCCAGTTCCGGACATCGATTTGCGTTAAATGCGGCTGCATCCAGTCTCACTCGGAGCTTCTGGGTTCAGGAACAGCAGACAGGTCTCGCGCAGTTGCAGGCTACAGCCAACCTCCTTCGCGATGCCGAAACTTCTCCTGAGCGCTTGGCAGAATTGATCGAGAAGCTTTGCTTGATCCAGTCGTTTGCTATCTCTAAATCGTCGAACCTCCGCGTTCGCTTCGTCTGCGAACCCGGAAGTGCTGCGCAAAACGAGTCCACGCTTCAAAAGTGGCTTGGAGGCTTGTCTCAGGTCCGCGCACCCACTGCCGCTCCCGAGGCCTCCAACATGAACCTGGGTGTTAACAAGGCATTCTACGATATGCCATTCAAGGTCTATTACTCTGGCTTGGCCATGCAATCAGTCCCATTCGTCGATCCCTCCAGTGCACGTCTGAGTGTCCTCTCACAACTCCTCACTCACAACTACCTCCATCCCGAAATCCGCGAGAAGGGAGGCGCCTATGGCGCTGGAGCCAGCAACGGACCTCTCAAGGGTATCTTCGCCTTCACCAGCTACCGTGACCCCAACCCTGCCAATACTCTGAAGGTATTCCAGAACAGTGGCATCTTCGCCCGGGACCGCGCCTGGTCCGACCGCGAAATTAACGAGGCCAAGCTGGGCATCTTCCAGGGTCTCGATGCGCCTATGAGCGTTGACGACGAAGGCGCTCGCTACTTCATGAGCGGTGTCACTGATGCCATGGACCAGCGCTGGAGAGAACAAGTGCTGGATGTCACTGCAAAGGACGTTAACGAGGCTGCCCAGAGATTCTTGGTTGAGGGATCTCGCAAGTCTGCCTGCTTGCTGGGTGAGAAGAAGGACTGGGCCGACTCTGAAGGTTGGGAGGTGCGGAAGCTCTCCATGAATGTTGAAGAGGGTGAGGTTGACGTTGCATCCGCTTGAACTTGCTCTCCGCTTCCACCATAACCATTTCTTTCGGTTTCTTGGGATATAGAAGCCGGGATTCTCTTGCATGATGTTATGTGTGGTATACCCTGTATTTTACGCTGATGCTGATGCTTCTTACGCTTATGGAAAAGTTTGTATATAGACATTTTGTACAATATCTTCACTCATTTTTCCTTATCTTCCTTCCTTGGGCTTCCTTTCTCAATCTCCTACGCGCGAACCAAGAACAGGTAAAACCTGCCTTTGACCTACTATATCCATGGTCTTAGGCAGGTTTCCGTTTCTCTTACGAGAGGACGGAGCAAGCGCAATATCAAACCCAGAATGTGAACTCCTCGCCCCACAACAGGCGTCGAAGTACACTTCTCCTCTCCGTTTATCAGACCCGTCCTGAACACTCTTTCAGCCTACGCAGAGCGGACTAAGAACGTGAGAATATCCTCGATACAAATCGTAACACATCAATAGTCTCATACAAAAAAAAGTACAGGAACTGATGAAAATTATTCCCTCCTAACTACGAACCTAATCTTAATCTGCCCCTGCTCCCTAACTAATCTTAAAATCTCCTCACTCGCAGTCTCCCCCCATTTCTCCCCCACAACATCAACTGCCCACCTCGTCCTCGTCTCCCTTCCCACAACCCTCCACATCGACTTCCAGCTTTCCTCATTATGATAATACCCAATCAAACTTCCCTCCGGCTCGGGCCCCTCACTATGTCTAACCTTCCCGACCTGCCGTCCGACGAGTAAGGAACCGGGCTGTGGGCGGAGGAGGGTTATGATGCGCTTTGCGATGACGATCTGTTGGTTCCAGGTGAAGAGGTGGAAGAAGGACATGGTATTTATGATGGAGAAGTGGCCTATGAAGTTGGTGACTAGTTCAGAATTGTTGTTGAAGATGTCACTGATGATGAATTGGGATTGAAGGGTGGCTCGGTCGTTGAAGAGGTCGTAACCTACGTTGAAGAGGTCAGGGGTTAGGTCGCAGCCGTAGAGGTTTGTGGAGGGGGCACCATCGTAGACCTGATGTTTGTTAGTTGAACTTGGATCTGGGAAGTGGGTTTGAGATAGGGTGTATGCTCACTAAGTGCCGGAGTTCTTGGCCCAGTGCACATCCTAGATCTAAGAACTTGTCGCCGGATTTAATTCGTTCGAGGATCTCGGGGTAAATTGACATTCGATGGAGGTCTAGTTCGAGGAATCTGAAGAGGCCTATGCATGGGTATGGCGTCTATTGAAAGGTGCAGACGGTTATTGGCAGGGTTGTACGTTTATGTTTCGGAGTAAAACGTACCACAGCGAAAGCGCGTTTTCTCTATTTAATAGCATTAGTTTCAGTATATATGTATTGACAGATATCACACGATGCTACTTACAGTTTCATTGATGTGGCTTACGATCCTCTCGTTTGGAATCTTGCTATATTCCTCGAAGATTACCCTTGCAGGCTCATGGACAGTTTGAATTTCTGGGTCGTAGTATTTGCTTGGATCGTAACTAGATGGGAATCCTGATGATCCAGCCATTGTGCCGTTGGTAAAATATATAATCTTGGTGCGCATGGTTGTTGGGAGAATGCTAATAAAAACTGGGATCTCCTGGATTTATATGGGGATGACGAAAACGGGGAAGTTTAAGAACGTAGGATAGACTTTACCATGCAGATACCTGCCGCAGATTCATGCAATAGATTTCTATCGTTGGCTGCTTTCATCCAAATATCGGTGAAGCAATGACATACCTTGAGCCAACCTGAGTAGCGACGGATTCAAAAAGAACAATTATATTTACATCCAAATAAGACGAGTTTCTAGTAAACCCAGTAATTTCAAAAATAGGGTATAAGCATCATATCATGAATCGTGTCGTAGTTGTACAAAAGGGCAGCAAAGAAGTTCTACAGGGTGTGGTTTCCTGTAGCGCGAGTTCCCAAAGTTTGACCTGCAAACCAAAATTGCCATTGCGTCTGGCTGCATGGGCTCGCGAAGAAATAAAGCCAGTCAATGTCAAATGAAACGGTCCGGCCATTCTGCAATATGGTAAACACTGTCTGAGAGGGAGCTGAATATAAGTATGACAATGAATCAGCCGTCGGTTACTCTATCGGAACCCGGATTAGAAGACCCCAGGTTGTCGCCTGACACCTTTATACCGGGCCAAGTTTCATGGTCTGTTGAGGATACGGGGGTTTGGGGTAGAGATGGAAAAGGTTCGGTTTGCATATTGTCACGATCATCGGGAAAATTTCTGTCGCTTATTGATTCCCGCGGCGAGTGAACCGTGCTCGCATATTGGGCACCTGACGAAACGGATGTAGAGCGTCCAGACAAAGAAGGACGAGATATTGACTGGTTTATACGTTAGCCAAACATACATGTATAAGGAACTGCACATCGCAGGTTACCTTATTGCTCTGATCGAGACCACGATTTGAGGCCAATCTCTGCGCAGCAAGCCGTTTTCTAAAAATCTCTTGCTCCTCTTTGAGTGCAGCTTGCTCTTCTTCTTTCTTCAAGCCATCTAGTGACTGTACATCAGGCGTCTGCGCATCGACAGCTATAACGCGAGGCGACTGAATACGACTGCCTCGCTTCCTCTTCATTTGTAATTCCTTCAAAGAAGCATCTGTTGTAGAACTGACAGTCCCCGATGTAGACCTTCTCACCGAAGACTTTCTTCCAGACTGGTCGTCGGAGTCTAATCCTGTTCCACGGCGGCCCAAAGCCAAAGCAAATTCATCATCTAACGGTACAGCATCTTCTTCCTCGTCACTCATGATCAAATCACCTCGGGAGCTCAAGGAGTTAGTAGTCTCCCGCGACGACTGAGTTGCGCTCCGATCTCTGCCGTTACCATAAGAAACAGGATCCTCGGATCCCTCACTAGCCCCAAGTAATGGCTCTTCTTCACGATCGAAGCGACGTACTGCTCCGGGATGCTCCTGTAGATCTGCAGCCGATGGACGATATTTTTGTCCCCGCGCTCCCAATCTCCAAGGGAACCGTTCCAGAAACCCCAAAAATGAAGAGCTAGGTATGACCGTCGGATCGTTCCTATTCTCAGGTACAAGCACACTGCTCTTTCTCCTAGTCCCGCGCGTCCCATAACTCATCTTTCGCTGCCGGCGTGGTTGTTCTGCAGTCCCACGTGTAAGACCACTCCCGGCCAGCAAACGATCCAGCTCATCAGATCCCCAGCCTAACAGGCTATCATTGGCAATATCATTATCCCAGTCATCGTAGAAATCGAAATTGGCCTCCGCCCGGCCGCGTCTTCGACGCCGGATCTGATCTTCACGACTAGGAAGACAAGGTGCCGTGCATGCGTAGACACAGTTCCCAATACTGGCAAAACATGGCGAGATATAATTCTGAGAGAAAGTGTATATCCCTTCCTGGGCCGATTCGTTTGCGCTTTCAAGATTGGAGGAGATCTGGTTGAGGGTTTGGCGGATGCGAGGGTCTCTCGGCCGCATGATGACGGGCAACCGTGAAAGAAGGGAGAGAACAGAATCGAGCGTAGGTGTATTTCAACCCACTATGACCAGTCACATTTGTCGCGAAAAATACAGGAAAGGATGAGCGTGGTTAAACTCAATAGGATTGTATGCTGTCCTTGATGGGGAGTTCTCATGCAGTCTCCGCCTCACGATGTCATTTCGTGGCCTTAGGCTTGGAAATTAGTCATGACAGCACGTGCCATCACGGGATCTGGGGTTGGCCATTTCCATTTTCAAATTGCTTTAGGATCCATAGTACGACAATCAAGAGGTATGGCAGCATAAGAGATAGCTTTGACATTTCTGTACTTGTTGGTTCTTTTTCTGTTCACACCCACAGGATGGTCTTCTATATCCGCTTCCTCAAAACGCCCCGGCTTCAGAAGCAAAAGGGAACTGTTTCTGTTTCTGCTCTGATTTGTATCACTACGGACCTGGGCGATGCATTCCTGGCTGAAGATACGCAATTGCTCACAACGCTGAGTATTGATCAGACAGAAAAAATCTTGTACAAGGAACCACTAAAATGGACCGCCGGCAAACGAGAGCTTCTGATCTCACTGGGGCCGTTTCCCGAGCATCTCGCCCGACAGACTGTGGTCCTGAGCGTCAGTGCAATTGAACCCCGGAGATCAGAAATGCGCTGGAGCGATGCTATATTGGGGGGTGTCGGCGTCCCTTTGGTTATCTCCGGCTGGAGCGCACCTTTTGGAGGGTCTCAGTCTCTAGTGGCAGAGAAACTTGTGGAGAGACGGATTGGTCCTACAAACCGATTGGACCTGAGAATATGGGAGGAGACAGGCAACAGCATTGCCCGGCATATCTGGTGAGCGGACATCAATCTTCAGATTTTTTCCATCGTTCTAAACAATACTTGTGTCGGCTCCATTAGGGATGCTGCCCTTGCATCAGTGATACATCTCGAGCAGATCGTGCAAGGTTCCAATGCGACCCTGCCAGTGCTCTCAGAACTTCTACAGAACCCGCGCGACAAGCCTCTCCAGGTTCTTGAACTGGGGTCGGGATGCGGGATTGTAGGCATTGCTTTGGCAAAACTGCTACCACGGTGCTCGGTTATGCTGACCGACCTACCTGAAGCCGAGGACATTGTAATACAGAATATCGCTGCGGCCAGACCAGCGCATTCATCTAAGATTGAATATCAGAACCTCGACTGGGACGAGCCACTGCCGAAGGATTTCTGCCATGAGCCTATAGACCTGATTCTCGTTTCGGACTGTACGTATAATGCCGACAGTTTGCCTGCATTGGTCTCAGTTCTAGACCGGCTCGTACAAAGTTCCCCGAGTGCACTTATTCTCGTGGCATTAAAGAGACGCCATGAAAGCGAAGCAATCTTTTTCGGCCTGATGCAGTCTGCAGGACTTTGCCAACACAAAGTCCATACATTATCGCTCCCGTCACAACATGACCAATTAGATCGCATTGAGCTGCATTGCTATGGACGGAATCCACAGTCGAAATCCGGATGATACGCTCAAAACCTCCGAAGAAGCCACTTCGACCGCTTTCCTGACCACCACTGGGTTCTGCTCGGTCCTCCCGTCTTGATTTCAAAGCCCGGGTCACCAATGAGTGGGCAGCGTATTGCTGCCCAGCATTGAAATCTCTTTTGTGTTCTGGTCCGTGCATGTGGATGTGGAAACAAGCCCGGAAGTGCGTCATAAACAGTAGCATAACATCATTGCTAGCCGATTTTCAGGGGAAAAGTTTCTTTCCAGCTTCGACTTCTTCGATGAACTGTGCTGGACGATTCGATATGATGCATGGTCGGGCAGTGGAATTAGAGTGTATGCACGGAGGACATAGTCTCGCTCAGCCACTTTGGGTTGTGGCAAAAAGTTTATAGGCAACAGTAAGACACGGGAGGCCCTTGCCATAACAACAATGAAAATTGACTATCGGTCAATTACTTCCTTGCAATTTGAGTCATTTTTTGTCTTCCCCGTAGAAGCGGCCTCCCGAATTAGGAAAAAGCAGCCTCTCGGGAGATTCCGTTCCAGGCTAAGCGACGGGCTGCTGACTAAGACCCAGTCAGTCTTTTTCATCATCGCCGCTGCTGGCTCTCGTTTCTCCCTCATAACAAGACGACCTCCCCCGTCTGAACGAGCGAAAAGCTGAACCAATTGCCAGGTGAGTGTTTTCTTGTTCTCTCCCTCCCTTATCCCAGGACTATCGATGTGATCCTCATGTTGGTATCCATTGCTTGTGTGCCTTGACCCCTCAATTAGCGTGCCCTTTGCCCTAAGCCTCCAATCTACACACCAGAAAATTCCTCTGCAACGCTACTCGTCCCCCCTCCCTTCTTCTCACCACATAAGCCGTCTTTCTGGCATATAAAACCAAATTAATTCCCTCGTTCATTTCGCTGACCGTCTCTTCTCCAGAAATCAAGGTTTCTGTCCTATAAAGAAAACTTTCTTCGCCTTTGGAATCCGTAGTTCCAAAGGCACCAGCTCACCACGGCTCTCCTTCTCCGTCAAATTGTCTGCCATAGACGTCCTCGCGACACTCTTAACAACATTCCACCTCCGGCTCCCATCGATTCCCGCGTCTCTTTCCGCTGCGTCATTTTTGCCCCCGTTGACGCCCTTCCAGCTTAATCCCTCACCCCTTGAGCTGCCGCATAGGACTTCTCTGAAGGTTCTTCCTCTTCAGGAGGAAGGGTCTAGGAGGCTTGGTCCAGTCAACCTCGGTTGCGAAACTTTTCGTCCTCCCTAACACGCTTGCCGCGTTTTGAAAGTTTCCTACTTTTTCGGTCTGATCAGTTTCCTTCCAGAAAACTGCTCAACCACTTATTCTTTTCTTTTCTTTTTCTTTTTTTTTTTTTGGGGTTTCTATACCATATAAATTCGTCTTCCCAATTCCCATTTACCCACTCAGGTTTCCATCGTGCACTCAATAGCACGTTTGGTTATGGCACCTACTGCTTGTGTTCCTCCCGTTGAGATCCTCGCGACCAAACACAAACCTGAGATAATACATTCTCATAACAATTACAACCCGCTCGGTAATCATGGAGGGGACGAATCGTTGCAATCGAGGTTGACTGCCAAGGACCTCGTCCTGGAGGTTCTGAAGAAGCGTGCGGCTGAAGTGGATGTTGACCAATGTGGCGCCGGAGAGGAGGATGCGTTCTATGTGGCAGACATGGGCGAGATCTACCGCCAGCATTTGCGCTGGAAAATGCAATTAGGCCGTGTGAAGCCTTTTTACGGTATGTTCTCGTCACATGTCGAGAGTCATGGATTCACACTGACAATTGATTAGCGGTCAAGTGCAACCCCGACCCGGAGATTCTTCGTCTCATGGCTCAGCTTGGAAATGGTTTCGACTGTGCTTCCAAGTCTGAGATTGACCTGGCCCTCGCGACCGGTATCGACCCCAGCCGCATCATTTACGCGCAGCCTTGCAAGACCAAGTCGTACTTGCGCTATGCGGCCCAGGCTGGAGTGAAGCAGATGACTTTTGACAACGCGGACGAGCTCTACAAGATCAAGGCGTGTTTCCCGGACGCTGAGCTGTACCTGCGCATTTTGACGGATGACTCAACTAGCCTGTGTCGTTTGAGCATGAAATTTGGCGCATCCTTGGACGTTGCGCGCGAACTCCTCGAATTGGCCGCGCAGCTTGAGCTCAAGGTGGTTGGCGTGAGCTTCCACGTCGGCTCGGGCGCCGAGGACCCAAGCGCGTTCGTCAAAGCCGTCCAGGATGCGCGCATGGTGTTCGACCAGGCGGTGGAAGTGGGCCACGACCTTCACACTTTGGATGTGGGCGGTGGTTTTAGCCATGACACGTTTGAGAAGTTCGCTGGCTATCTGGGCGAGGCGCTTGATGCCTACTTCCCGCCTCATGTCCGTATCATCGCCGAGCCCGGTCGCTACTATGTGGCCAATGCTTTTACCTTGGCGGCCAACGTCATTGCGCGTCGCGACATCCCTGACCCGACCGATTCCACGCGCGACGCGTACATGGTCTATCTCAACGATGGCGTGTACGGCAACTTCTCTAACATTATCTTCGACCACCAGCATCCGATAGCGCAGATCCTTTCCTGTGCGAATGGCATCGACCGCTCCGCTGAAGGCATTCACTACTCCATCTGGGGACCTACCTGCGATGGTATCGATGTCATCACCCAGCACATCGAGCTTCCCGGAATGTTGGACGTCGGAGACTGGCTGTTCTTCGAGGAGATGGGGGCATACACTAAGTGCAGCGCGACGCGTTTCAACGGCTTCTCCGACAACCACGAGGTGATCTACATCTCTAGCGAAGCTGGAGCATCTGCTCTTCTTGATTATTAATATGTTTTATACTGTGCTTTGTTTCCTTGTATGTTTGTTGTTGGCCCTGTGGACCACGCTGCTGCGTTTACATTAGAGTTTGTATTTCATCTGTACTTTCGTTATCATTATCGTTCTAGTAATCCTTTGGACTGTTTAATGAACAGGATAGACCTGGGCTCTTGTGTTTATGAAAGTGTACTGTTTATTTTTGGTAACTGACCGTCTTGCTGCGAATTACTTGAAGCGGCATATATACAGCATGAAAAGTTTTGGATATTTACTCAACCACATCTAGGAGTACCAGCTCCATCCTCTAATCGTGTAAATGTATAAGGTGTATATATTTAAACAAGTCGCTCAACTGACAGCTCAGCCTCCTCATTCGCCTGCACAAGTCCACCGGCTTCCAGCCTCTTCTTCCACTTCCCGGATTCATAGCGCGCGAGGATAAACGTCAGACGAGCGGCCACGCCCGGGTCTGCTGATGCTGCAACCACAGCGGAGGGTGTGGATGTCCAGCGCCCAAATGCCCAATTGAGAATGTAATATTGAGACGCCGGAGAGTCTGGCTGCGTCGGTCTGGGCTCGTTGAAATTCTCGGACGATTCTGCTGGCGGAGCGCTCTTCGAACAGCGGAGTATGCCCTTGATGCGGTAGACTTCTTCTTTCGGCGCGGAGGAGAGCAATTGCTCGAGCGAGGCGACGTTAACAGCCTGGTCCGATTTAAGCGTGACGGAGAGCACTTCGACCTCGGACTGATGATTGTGCTTATGCTCGTGGTCGTGATCGTCATGATGAGCCTGCCCCAAAACCACATCCGCGTTTTCCTTCGCAAACATCGCCCCGTCAATCCCCAGCAAAACATCCTTATCCACTCTCCCCCGATCCGACTTAACATACGGCGTCTCAACCTCCAAATCCCCCACCCGATCAAGACAAGTATCAAACCTCCTCTCCCCAACCCCCTCCCACTTATTAAAAATAATCAAATCCGTATACCTCGCCTGCAACTTCGCCGTATAACTCGTATCCTCATACCCCTCCCAATTCTCCACATCAATTACACTAACTACCCCATCCAGCACAAACCCTTCCCCTACATCTGACTCCTCGCGCGATAACCGATTAACTTCCATCGCCAGCGTCGCGGGGAACGCGCTTCCGGAGGTCTCGATGACGATGCGATCCGGCTGAACCGTTTCGCGGAGCTGGTTTAGCGCATCGCCGAGCTGCCCGACGAGATTACAGCAGATGCAGCCATTGAGGAGTTCGCGGACACCGGAGATGGATTGGGTGGAGGCGAGTTGGGAGTCGATGGCGACGTCGCCGTATTCGTTTTTGAGGAGCGCGAGGCGGTAGGATTTCGGGAGTTGGGGGATCAGGTTTAGAAGGAGGGTTGTTTTGCCGGAGCCCAGGAAGCCCGTTACTATTGTTACGGGGATGGGGGCCATTCTGGTTGTTGATGTGTTGGATTGGAGTTGTTCGGTGTTGGTTGTAAAGATCTTGGGTAAGATGGGAGGCGGGGCAGGCGCTAGTCCTGTTTGGGGGTGCCCTAATATTGCCTATTTGGGATGAGGGTCTTGGGGTTGATGCAAGGCGCGTTGGATGTTGATGGTTGGATATATAATTGTTATTCACTGCTTCTTCTTTTTATCTTTCCCCCCTCGCTATGCCCTCTTCTTTTTCTTTTGTCTCTTTGTTGGAATAGTATGAGTGGCAGCTATTTTTAACATGACAGTTTGTCTTGCGCTTAGAACCCCTCAGTACAGCCCAGATTTCAAAGCAGAATAACATCCTTCCCAATACAAAACTTCTATAACCGATCGAAATCCTTCATAACACCCAGCCTCATAAACTCGAACGATACTCAAAAGTACCGACGACCTCGGTAGCTGACTCAGCGGCGGCGATCGCGATCTGGATTCAGGATTCAGTCCAGCCGTGTCAGGCGTCAACTCGATACTATCCATCATCATTCTCAAAGAAAGAATTGAATACCCTATACTCTATCAACATGACTTCCAAAATCACGCTCTACTTTGACATTGTCAGCCCCTTTGCGTACATCGCTTTCCACGCGCTGCAAGTAAGTCCGGGGAAGTTTCCAGACCGACAGTGAATGGTGAACTAAACAATGGTAAACAGAACTCCCCAGCCTTCCGCAATTGTACCGTCTCCTATGTTCCCATCTTTCTCGGTGGTTTGATGCATTCTTGTGGTAATACGCCGCCTATTAGGATTAAAAGTAAGATAATCCAGCAAGAAAAATGAGCCGATGTTAATAATTATAGACAAGGACATCTGGATCAATCAAGAGCGCATCCGATGGTCTCGCTATTTCAGAGTCCCGATGGTCGACCATTTCCCCAATGACTTCCCGCCAGTGACGCTGGGTGTGCAGCGCGCTCTTTGCGCTGTCTCCCAGAGATACCCGGAGCTGCTTGTTCCTGCGATCGCAAGTTTGTATTATGCGTTCTGGGCGGATGGAAACTCCAAGGTTATACAGCCCGAGATTTTTGGTCCGATTCTGGAAAAGGTGTTGGGGAAGGAGAGGACACATGAGATTGTGAAGGATGTATGTTTTCACCTTGTCCAAGTGATTATACCCGTACTAATATTAGGACAGTCCACCACATCAGACATCAAGAGCCTATTGAACGAAAACACCGACCGCGCATTCAGGTCCGGTGCTTTCGGTCTTCCCTGGTTCGAATGCACTAACCCCCAGGGTGAGATGGAGGGATTCTGGGGAATTGACCACTTGGGCCAGGTGGCCGACTTTTGTGAATTGGAGCGCAGAATCGAGCCGGGATTCCGCGCACTGTTGTAAATCTTGTCACTGGGATTGGAAACATGGGAGTTGTTTATTATTGAGATCCGTTGAATGATTGACCATTTTTTGTTGTTCTGTAAATATCTTAATAGCATTGCATATATCGACTATCACGTACAGGCTGAGGGGTATATGGTATAAATTATTTCCCGCGTCGTAAGTTGGCGTTGCTCATGTGTTTCTCCTGGAGGAATTCTGCGATCTTCTCCCTTTCCATATTCTCGATTATTTGGATCTCTTCTTGGGTCGGCGCGTTCTGTGCTTCTATCTAGCGTTAGCACATGCCCCTCTTCATCCGATAACAAACAAAAGACCAACCTTGCTTCACAGCCAGCTCACTCTTCTCACCATCCCCATTCCCATCCCCATTCCCATTCGTCATCGACTGAATCCGTTCCCGAACCCCATCCACCATCTTCCCCGGCGATATCGAACCGACTCTATTCTTAACTTCGTTAAATGACTCTCCGATCATCGCACTAGCATTATTCCCCATATCCGCCAACGAACTCCCCATATCTGTCGAGTTGGCTTGGTCCTTGACGCTATCCGTATACCCCTCATTGCCAGTCCCTGATGTCGGTTCGGCGCGTTGTTCGATAACGGTTGGGTTGGTGTCGTTGGCGGAGGGCATGGTGTGGCTGCGTGCGTATCGATGGAATAGCCAATTAATACAGAGGATGCTCAAGTGTTGATGATTGATAGGTGAGGATTTCTGCACCGTATCTTTGGAGGTTTTGTCTGAGGTTTTAGATTTCTGTTGCCTGTGGTCCCGTCCCGTAGGGCTGATGACATCAACGGGGCGATGATATCATTGCAATCAGCCTTATCGTGTCAGGTCATACTGGTCTACATTATTTTTATCTTTGAGGTTTGAACAACGGTTGGCTGTAGGGAAATTGGACTTGTCGGAACTAAAAAGGAAAGAAGGATATAAAAGACATCACGGCCAGATAGCCGCTGTATGCAATCACGTGATACCGACCCGACACCTTCGCTTATTTCCCTCAACCCAATTGACGGCAGTGGGATACCCATATCTATGGAAAAGTACTATTGGGTAGCGACTAAAGTATGCTCAGGACAAGAGCAACTCAAGATGTGCCACGCGCCTTCCCCAAATCATCGGTCTCCACCAGAGGGAAGGAGCACCTTCCCTTTCCTCAGTTGATAAACACTAACCCAACCATGGAGCAACTTTTTCGTCCCTACCGGAATACTTCTTGGATACGAATAGCACATCCATTGCACCTTTTACGTTGTCGCGCTTATTCTATTAGTTTCTAATAGTGATCGCTGCATCTCCTACTATGTCTTTTATAGACTTGTTCGATTTCTACTCTACCAAACTCGGAGAATACGACACTTCCCAGGAAAGCGCAACGCAAATCAGGGGACTGCCCTCGACTCCAACCCGCGAAACTGTTTCGAAAGGGATTGTAGAAGATGGACCAAGTTCTGACTCTGTGGCCAAAAGACGTCGACATGCCGTGTACATGGAACGGCCTCCAGTCTGGCTTTTAAACCCGGATCTGCCTTGCGACGACCAACAATTGTCTGGTGGAGATGGGGATATTTTATGTGGACGCTGCGGAAATTCAATGAAGCAGAACCCCGGCGAATGTTGTGCTGGCGTGTGTCTGAGGGATTTCGCGCAGGATACTGATACCCGGGATATCGCTATTGAGGGGTCGACGGAAGAACAGGAAGTCTTCAAACGGGAGTTGCTTTGTGATATAGCGGCCGCCGTGGCAGAAGCTCAAGCGAGTGAAGCTGGTTCGAATTCAGACCCGGAAACGCCATTGCTTGTGAGTGTTCTATACTTTCAAGGCGCAGATGGGGTGTTCTAATACAACGCAAGAGCCCCTTTAGTGAGCCTACGAAGAGGCAATGCGATTACTTCTCTGCAGCAAATGATCAGTCGGATTCATCAAACTCTTCTAAGGAAGATCTACCGAGTCGTCTACAGAGTCCTCTCCGGCAGAACAAGGCTGGCCTTTGTACTCGTCTGCACTCATACAGGGATATACGCCTGGAAGTTGGTGAGAAATGGGCTATACAAGAAGGATCACTGGTTGTCTGTGTCGATCCGTCTTACACTCAGCTCATTCGCCAAGAGAAGCTTCCGGACGAGTTTGACATCACTACTGGCGATTTCTATATTGTTTGCAGTTTATATGCGGATCTGTGGGCCCTTTGCCTCAAAATATCTTTCGAACGACTGGCAAACGATGGCATAGACGAAACTTTGGCGGAGTGCTCTACACATCTTGGCTTTCTTCCACTCTGCGCAGTGACGCTAGCAGCCAACTTTAGTTCGTTCATCCAAAGATGTCAATCTGTGAACGAAACATCGAAATACCCCGGTAACGGACTTCCTGTTATGCCACCAGAACGCTCACACAGTCTTAATGCAAGCAAGCAGTTCTTCCAGGGAGATCGACTTCATATCGGTTTGCCTAGTATTGTCTACGACACTTATAATACGTTGTCCTTGGGAGCTATCGATATGGATTTTGTACCTCTGGACTCCACTCTACAGCAGTTATTCTCTTCCATCGGGGCTCGGCGGGATAGTGTGCATAAACTTGGAAAACGTATGTCACCTTGGAAGCTCTGGCGCGGAACAAAGTCTCCAGATCCAGGATTGCCAGAAAGGGAAAGACGGGTTTCGTTCCGAGATTATTCTGGTCTGCAGGGCTTCGGGAATGGGTCCAGGTGGAGTTCTTTCTCTTCTGCTGCAAGCCAAGGAAGGAAATGGTTCTCACCTCGTGCCCCATTTAATGGACATCGCCGAGGCATCCGGGGTCTGATGGGAGGACATGATGGGCTCCAAGGTCATACACGGGGAAACTCCACTGCATCCGATCCTTTGAGCTATTATTTGTAGTGACATGGCTTTAATTGCGCCTGATTCTTGGACTATGTGGCGTATTGTATAATAAGTTGCCTTCGATTGCATGTCCTTCATAATGAGGTCACTCTTATGTTGAGTGCCACCCGCGGTTTATAGATAGCATTCTTCCCAAGCACACTACTAATTACAACAATCCAACAATCAATTAACCCCAACTACAAAACTACTCTTAAATAATACACACAATGTCCTCCCACCGAACCTCCTCCCCAGACCGCGTGCAAATCCCCTCCCCCTCCCCCTCTTCCTCCGAGTCCCAAGAAGATAAAGAAACCTCCAACATCGACCGCGACATCATGGGCGTGACAACCCAGGGCCGGCCGCCGCGCGTCTCAAGAAGAAGACGCTCTGAGAATGCGCCGACCTGGCAGCGTGCGCAGGCGCATCGGCACCATGGGACGACGGGGGCGAAGTATCGGTCTACATCCAGGCATTAATCATTTTATTTTTGGATTGAGTGTGAGGCTTGAGAAGTATGGTCATGGTGTGGGCTTATAGTGGCTTAGTTCTTACTGTATGTATGCATGAATGAGGGTGATAAAGCTACCAGAAGAAACGAGAATTGAATTGTATACTACGATTGAGATGATATTGGATTGCAATGGAAACATATCCGAATTTGTTATTTCATACTTTTTAATGTGTTTTTGTATTTTCTTTCCAAAAACAACAATGCAAGACGGAATATATTAACCTGTACGTGTGATAGTCTCGAACAATATAAATTTATTGGTAGACTCTCTATCGAAATACTAACATGGAGAAGGAAAGAAAGAAGCCGGGCCTGCCAGCGCTGCACTATCTAGTGTGCGAAGGGGGTTCCTGCCCTATACTCAAACAGGCCAAAGTATACAAACATCTTGTCTTATTGGTGAATGCCCATACTCTGTGACAGTACGCCTGTATCTATCTCAATATATATAAAAAAAGCGACAACAGAACAACAGAACATAGCAACAAAACCAACAATACACGAGCAAGGGTGGATACAGGCTCGACATCCTGCCATTCTGACAGACAGCATTACAGGAGGGAAGGAAGTTGACTTACTTTTTTTTTTTTTTGCCGGGTTGTACATTGAGTCCTGTGATGCTGAGGAATGCAATAAGCTTGAACCACTGTCTATCCAGAGTTCCAACACGCAAAATAACGCGATCTATAAACAGATTCTAGAAAGCCAGAATAGTCCATAAAGACCAGACACAAATGCAAACAAGACCAAACAAGCAGAACACAACATTCAACAAAGCACGGTAACATAGATTAAATCAACCGGCCTGTAGTCAATCGATCACTCATTCAACCATCATTAGCCAATTAATCAATCAAAAACCGCCGCCTTTTCGACTTCTGCTTCGTCACCCCCGGACAAGGTTGTTCAGGGATTCTACTAGCATTAGACTGCTTCCTGTTAGCATGCTCAGCACCGACACCGCTATCACCACCAGCAGCCACACCACCACCATCGTAGCACTGACTATAGAACCTAGCCGGACCGGGTTTGGAAATTTGGACAGCTTGCGCGTTCTGCATAGCGCTGTCATCGAAGGGACTGCTACTGCTGCCAGAATCGTAAGCATTGTCAGCATACACGTTAGCATTGATGTTGTCCGGAACGTTGAAAGCGAAATCGAAATCAGCAAAGGCGTTGGTATGTTCACCGTCTTTGTCTTCGTTGGAGGTAGAGTCGTCCTCGGCTAGAAAGCGCTGAATAGCTTCTCGTTCGAGCGCTACGTGGCGCGGTTGAAAATAGATGATTTCGGGGTCGGTTGTGTTGGGGTCTTTGTAGGAGAGTAGCTCCTCGTTGCGTGCATACGGCGAGATGGGTGGAGTCTGCACTTGCCCAAAGTTTACCTTTGCGTGCACGGAACATTTAAGATGACGATCCGAATCAGCGGTGGCGATCTGCTCGTACATGGGCTGTCCATCGCCATCGTATAAATCAAGGAGTTTGAGCGTGCGGACAGCGATCTCGTCATACTTGATATTCTCATTAACCAGATTCGTCACTATCCCACCAACGGACCTGTCACGGCCGTAGAGCACCTTGTGAAGATAGAAACCGAGTTCATTGCCTGGCATGCCGGATTTAATAAAGGAAGTCAGAATGTCCGGTAGATAGCGCATGCCCTCCCACGTCCACTCATCTTTCATAGGCGGGATATCAATATCTCCTATGTCCTTGTTAGCCGTGTATCTGGTGTTGGCAATGTCGATATGATCCTGACGACCTGTCCGCGTGAACGAAAATGGCCTGATTCTACCTTGTGGAGCAGGCGATTCCGAAGCGTCCTCGCACTCACGCCGACGATTGACCAAATTCTCACCTACACGTTTAATTGCGTTGGAACGGCGCAGACGGGGCGGGTCCAGGGGGCTAGTTTCCATGGACTGCTGGCCGGGTTTAGTGGATGGGGTTCGGGGGGGTTTAACGGGTTCGTTACTGTTGGTGGACTTGCCATAGAAGCGGTGCATTTTAGGGTTTTGGTCTTGATAAAGTCGGCTGTGGTTTCCGTGGGACTGGAGCCAGTTAGATTGTTAAGGGCTTGGTAGATGTCGGTCAAAGAGTTGGATGGGAGAAAACAATAAAGTGGATAATAGAGAAAGAAAGATTGATGGTGATGAAAGGGGACATCAAGCAGGGATCGCATGGTGATATTTATATCCTAAAGCCGTCCCAAGATGCTAAATTGCCATGAAAGAGAGAACTATGTTTCTGAAGTAGAAATACTTGCAATATCCTATAAACGGTTGGTGGGGAGAGCCCTAAACAATAAGCATTATGAACACTTACATCCCTTTGTGGTTGTTTTCTTTCAGTTTGTTTCATGGCCCCTTCCGTTAGACAAGGCCATTGTCCAAGTTGAACGTAGAAGAGATAAATGACCAGAACATTAAAAGAGAAACAAATAAATCTGATTACAAGTAATAATGACATATATACAGACGAATGCGAAAACCGGGCACAGAAGGATATAGAAGGATGTCAAACATGTCTTGAAGAACCGTATGAAGCATGCAGACCAAGTAAAAGATTAAAAAGAATGAAAGGGTAAAACCAGAAACTCCAGAAGATGGGGTATATGCGCATCTTGAAAAAAAGTGTACAATGTGAGACATCCAACTCACCGAGAAAAGAGCAGGTATTAAAGTTTGGATGATATTTACGGGAAGGAGATAAAAAGGGCCATTACAACCACAGAACCCACCGGATTCCTGAAATCGCACCGCGGAAGGCACTGCGAAACACCTTAAATGCCATGACGATCAACCACACCCACCAGAGCATGCCCACGAGAGCCCATTCGAGCATCACAAAGCCAGCACGTCTCACCCAGCGTAACCGCCGGCGACGTTTCCTAACGCCCTTGTCTAACGTATCACTTAACTGCTTTAGAGCTAGCGTGCTAGTGGTATTGAGTTGGATGCTCAAGCCTTCGGCGTCGAATGCCACTGCTTGAACCCGTGGCGTGAGCGTATTGCTAACCAGATTTTCCAGACCGCTTAACCGCGATTTCAGGGGCGATACGGTCTCATTTGGAAAACGCTCCATGGATTGTTGGAATTGGAGTTGTGTCTTTTCAAATTTTCGCTGTAGGTTTTGAGCAGCGAGATCGAATTCCCGTAGTCGGGCCACCCGTGGAAAAGCGCAAGCGTTATCCATCGTATTCGTGAGGAATTCGGGCGGAGGGTCGCGAACAGTCTCTGCACGGCGTGTGATTTCTCGCGCTTTGATCCCCGAAGACAAGAGGAGAGCTCGCGTGCGTTCGATTTCCCGTTTCTCGGATACACCAAGATCGGCCAAGGTAGGAATGCTGCGGTCTGAAATCGTCCACGTACCTGATAGGGTTGGACGTCTCCCTTGAGCAGAAGGCGGTGCAGATGCCTCTGCCTGTGCGAGACCGGTGACGGGAGGACGGGTCATACTAAAAGGAACAGATGGATCTTTGATTTGCTTCTTCTTGTTCTGTTCTTGGACATTGCGGAATGGTGATCCAATGCCAAAGTTCTCATTGGAATCTCTCCCGGAAACGTGGGTGTCAAATTTGCCTGGTTGAGTGACATGAGTGTCATCAATCTTCTTGTATAATTCTTTTGTATCACGAGCACCTTCAAGATCAGACGCTTCCCGCTGCTCATCGCGGTCATTCTGCGGAACTGACGCTAGGGTGGGTATAGAAAGCACATGAGTATCTTTCTCCGTATCTTTGCGAGTAAACCGGCCATTGTCGTCAGACAGGGTCGGGAAACGGCGCAAGAAGCCCTTTGGGTTGACGCTCTTGCTGAAATTCGCTGTTTCGAGATCGATATCATCGGATGCTGCACTGGTTGCGAATGACGACTGACGAGAGTGCACCGGCTGGTCTTTCTTCAAAATGAAGTTGCCCATTTTAGAGACTTCGTTGCCAACCTTCGCCGTAACTTTTCCTTTTCCTTTGAATATCCCGCGAAGTTTAGACTCGTGACCGGATCCCTTTTGCGCCGGATCATCCATTGGTTGGTCATCATGTTGAGGTGACGAGGCCTGGTCTGGGTGAGCGCTTGGCTCAAGCTGCTCAGAGCGATCGATCCCCGAAGGAATTGTGACACCCAGATGGGCAGGTGATGGATGCTTGCGCAAAAATTGGGAATCTAAAGGAAGATCCTCACGCTGCTCTTTAGCACGGTTCTTGCTCTTACTCCGCTCACGACGAGCAGCGATCCTCCGAGACAACCGCTTCTTGGATGGTGGCGAGGGTGAACGGCTCGTTTGAGGAGAAAGGTTGACTGCGATACTGGGAAAGGGACCAGGATGCATTGGAGAGTTTGGAGCAGTGCTCTGCATGGCGTCTAGGGACATTCGATATCGGTCATCCGTGCTTGCTGCAGATGATATAGAGGGTCGTTTCTCATCTGCACTTGCCCATGTAGAACCCTTCTTTGATCGATACAACGGTGAGTCAGGGTCCCGCGTTGACTTAATATTCGTGGATATGGCACTGGAAAACCCTGATTTTTCAGACAACCCAGCACCCATGGAAATGCTGGACGAGCTGCGGGACCGTCGCTTGAAGTTCCTGCCCTTCGCCGAGGCACTGCTGCTGTGGATGGGACTAGATGGACTTTGGAATCTATGCCGGGGTCGCCCGCGGCCAACGCCCTGCAAATCGTGGGACATGCCCCGGTCTGAAAATGATGAAGGAACATCCAGGGATACCCTCTTCCCAGACAATGACGCTCGCTGGACACTCGAAGTATCGAAATTGGCGTCTGAGGAGAGCAACTCCATTGGATCTGGGTAAAGGTTGTTTCCGTCCTTATCGGTCATTTTACTCTTGTTTAACCCATCTTCGACCCATGCGGCATCGGCCAGTAGCTCGGCCGACGAGACAACCCAATCGAATCTCGGCCTCCGCGCCTTGGCACTACTGGAGCGCCTTCCTGGCCCCCCACTGTCAGAAGGAGAGATGACAGCGGATAATTCCGCATCGTCGTGTTCGCCTTGGAAGGCCCGAGAGGGTCTTTGGCCTAGTCGCGGAAGCCCCAAGCACTCGTTGGGTTGATGCGGTCGATGGCCGTATTGTTGCTCTACTATGTTGACCCATTCATGGATCGTTGCGACATCATCCCAACCCTCCCTTTCGACATCGATCGGACATTTCTCACGGTATCTGACCTTTCGATTGCGAATCGTCTGAAGGGGATTGTGCACACGAGATGGACCATGACCACTGTCCCCAGCGCCATGACTTCTCAAAGGAGGGAGTGACGGAAGTAAGCGTAGATACTCGTTGAACAGTTCGAAATGGCAGCGAGCTTTGTCAACTCTAGCAAGTGTGTTCTCCGATATTTCATGCGGCAGGACACCGTTATTGACTGTATCAGGTAGAAGGTTAGACACGGACAACTGCTCATTGACGGGAGACTGCTGCGCGTATGGGTCGAGAGGCCGAGGACGACCGTCGGCAAACGACTGAGTGAAACTACGACGTCCTTGGGCTCGACCGCAATTCTCCAGACTACCTCCCACAACAGCCGGCGCATGACTCTCCATGTAGTGAGCAGATGGCTGTCGGGCTGTCCAAACTCCACCAGAAACCCGATGAGACGCTGACCGACCAATGTTGCCTCGCCGTCTTGACTCACTTAGGTTCAAAGCCAGGTTCACAATCTCAATGGAGTCCTGATCGAGACCTATTGAGCCCTGACTTGCCTCCCCCTGAATATTATCTGGCTCATCATGCGGTTCTTCGTGCGCGGCATTCGACGGTTGAGAATCCTCACGAACGGCTCGTGAACCGGTGTCGACGGACAGCGGTTCTTCCAACGGTTGACGGTAGCGACTCCAAGGAAAGCGCGATTTCTTCCTCATTTTATTGTTCTCGACCTCTGGTAACTTCCGCTCCTCTTTGCGATCGGGTTCCGGGCGGCGCGGACGCTGATGCTGACTAGCTCTCAGACTCTTCGACTTGTGCAAAAATGAAGAATCTAGCAAGAAGCTACTTGAGCCCATTCTCCGCTGTCCCCGAGCTCCTCCCCGTTCACCATCGCGAGAGTTGCTCCCGAGGGTGCTGCCTTCCAGCTCGCCGCTTGCTCGACCCTCGTTCATTTGCGTGTCTTTTCGTCGATCGGCCCCGCCATTAGCTTCAATATTGTGCGATGAAGAATTTGCGTATGACGAATCGGAAGGTGCGACCATAGGAGGGAGTGGGTGGAAGTCATTTGACTGTTGCGACATCAGAGGTCCGGGGAGCGGGACGAAGTGTTGTCAGGAGCGTAGTTCGCCGGCGTTGGGAATCATGGAGACATCAAAGCAGGTACGATTAGTCAAACAGCCGAAGCAAGGGCAGAACAGCAAATACAAAGGAAGGCCAGCATCACAGTAAGTAAAGAAAAGCGTAGTGTACAAGTAGAAGTTCCGATGAATACGGAGGCCGATCTCCTGCGACGCATACGCACGTGCAGCTGCAAACACTGCAAACATATACTTGATGCATTTTGGATTATGGCCGCTATATAGATAGCAGGGGATAGATTTGAACAAGAATAAAATGCATTTTCTGTCATTGAACCTAACAATGCAGAAGACAACTAGATGTACAGTTCCTTGGGAATTTTACTAACAAAAGGAAAACCAAACGACTGCTAAGTCATGTATCTATTCCACTCTCAGACACTGGAGTCGTGCCTCAGTCTCAATAACCTGTGAAAGAAAGGGTTAGCCAGTTACCCCAAATGACAGTCATGGACGTGACTTACCTCCAAAGCTTGCTTCACCTCAAGAACCCGGCGTGCATCTGCCAGCCAATCCTTGCTCAAAAGTTTTGCCCATCCCTGGAGAGAGTTCATCTCACGGGCGGCAGAGTCAACATTGCCCTCCTCCAAGAGGGTCTCAGTCCGCACGAGAACACTCTCAACGTCATCACCATCGGCCACGGCGTCCTTCTTGAACATGACCTTGCTCAAGACAACGCTGGCAGCGTGGCTGGCGATACCAGCATCCTCAGGCAGAAGGCTGGCCTTGCGGACCTCAGAAGCAACACGGCGGAACCGCTCGATCAGCTGAGAAGTGGAGGGGATACCGCGCTGGTAGGCAGTTGGGTTGATGGACGCGATGGCTGCCTCGACAACGTGGTCATCAGCGGCCAACTCCTTGACGGCAACAAGCTCACGAATGAATGGCCGGGGAACCTCAGAGCGCTCAAGGACAGAGCGTACCGCGTCCACAGCGACCTGGAGTTGCTGGGTCTTGAGGTTGGAGTCGATGACCTCCCTCCAGTCGGTGGTGAGCTTCTCAAGGTCGCTAACGCTGGCGGTCAGCTCGTTCAGCTTGCTGAGACGTCCTTCGCGTTCCTTCTCAACCAAGTCCTGGATGTTGTGCAGGTACTTGCGGTTAAGCTCAATAGCCTGCTCGACGAGTTCATTCTGCAGGCGCTGTTCCGCGATTTGCTGGGCTCTTTGCAATTCAGTCTGGATTTTGTCCTGGTAGGCACGGGCCAGTCTCTCCCGCTCGACCTCGAACTCTTCACGGTACTGAGCAGCGTCTGCAGAGCGGGAATCCTCGAAGCGGCGGATCAGCTCCCGTGCAGACTCATCGAAAGTCGCGTGTACCTTCGTGAGTTCGTCCTGGGCGGCCTTACGGGCCTCTTCGCGGACTGCCACAATCTTCTCGCCAATCTTCTGGACTTCCTCCTTAGCCTTCGCAATAGAAGAAGAGTACTTGCCGGAGTTCTCATCGGCGCTAATGACTGTGACAATGTCGTTGAAGGTCTTGACCAAGTCCTGGACAATAGCTTCACCTCCCTCCTGCACTTGCGCAAGCTCGATAGTAGGGATGGGAGCGGCGGGTCTCTTCTTCTCATCCTTGGCCTTCTGCTCCTTAGTAGCCTTGTCGCTCTTGGCCTTTTCGACGGCGGCAGCCCTCTCTTCAGCCTTGACGTTGGCGGGCTTCACCTGAGCATCATGGACAGCGCTCATATGAGGGCCTTTTTGCGAAACATCGGTTCCAGCATCCTCCTCCTCTGTCACCTTTGAAAAAAGACCACTCTTGCTCGGAATGGTAACATGCTTGCCTGCATCCTTTGGTGTAGACTGAATCCGGTGCTGGTGCTTGGAGGCATTCGGGAATCGGCGGTAGAAGTCCTGCTCTTCAAAGTAGAGAACGCATTCCTCACCATAAGGCACGTACTCTGTGAAGAAATCGTGAAAGTTGTCCGACTTCAAAGCCAAAAAGATACCTCCACCATAGGCAAATCCGGATGTGAGAATCAAGTACAACAGGAATCGACGGAAACGTCCAGTCTTGGGGGCCGGGGGAGCCGGGGGGACGTGAGATCCTGTAGAGTGGTTTAGCATTCAACAATTATTGATATACCTTCCAACCCCGGTAGTATAGCAGTCGCACCTTGTTCTGCCTTGGCAACATTCTCTGGAGGGACGGTCGACTCGGATGAGGGAGAAGCGGGGGTAGGGGAACTGGTGGCAGGGGACTTCTCGTCGGCGAAGAATCTCTAGATAAAAACAAAACCCATTAATCAAACTAGCCTTGACAGAAGCACACAACACAATGTCATCATACCTGACCGGAGAGCCGGTTGCTGGCCCCAGCTCTAGACAGCCATTGCGACGCTGTCCGCTGGCGAATGGGCGACGACAGCAATTGCCGGCTCTGGAGAATCGAGGAGCGCAGCATGATGACCCGCACTACCGGACCAAAAAGTGCTGGTGGCGGGAGTAATAGAGGGGAAGAGAGGGAAAGTGATGTTAAGGCGTGAGAGAGAAAACGCGGACCGGGAATTGGAATGATGCTTTTACGATCCGCTCCGAGAATCCTGTACCGCCACATATACACCGCCACATCGCGCTTCTGCCACAGCCGATTGACACTAGTATGCCCTGACAGTGACTGACAGTGATAGCTACAGGGTTAAAAACACCATTAAGTATTCTAGAACAAATACATTCATCCAGGCATCAATCAGAGTGTATAATAAGTATTATATGAGCATACTGAGGTTCCCCAGGGCATAATGAAAAATGAAATAGGGAAAAGAAAAGGTAACATGAATTCAACCCAAGCAAAAAATGATGCAGACGCCAGGTGTAACAAGCAGCGGCAAATAGAGTCAAGGTTAAAAGGGAAAATAAAAGAGCATAATAGCTTCTGCTCTTTGAGGTCTAGAGCCAAATCCAAACGCGCGTTAGAACGCGGCTTTCCGTTGCACGGACAACAGCATCGAGATTTCGGTCGAATGAAACGCAAGAGCAGCAAGAGAAGGTTAGTCGAGGACAGGTTTGCAACCAAGGATCCAGCCGTAATATAGAGAGATCGCCTGCTGGATGGAAGATTGACAATGTAATCTAGTTCCAACTCCCTCCCCGAAAACCGTAACACCGATTGGACATCAAAACGGAAGTAAAAAAAAAAAAAAAAGACATTCTGGTTCAGAGAGATAGCATAGCGTCACAATGTACCCTGATATCACCATTCTGCATCAGGCCAGAAGACGCCTGTCGTTTCTTTCTTGTGTCGAGAAACATCTCAGGCGATAGTCGTGTTGCGTTACGATTAACAATTGCATGCTCCAGCGCCTTGAGTGCCGGGCGCCTCCGGCCGCAAATCAACGCCGGGACGGGGAGCGGTTCGCAAATTCCGTGGTCCGGCTTGGTCTAGTGGCAGCTTCTTTGCGATGGCAGTGAAGAGCTCTTGCACGTTCGAAGAGGTCTTTGCCGACGTTTCGAAGAAGAGCAACCCAGCTTCGCGCGCATACGCCTCGGCATCAGCCGTTGGGATGGCTCGCTTGTCCGGGCTTTCGTTGACGAGGTCGAGCTTGTTACCCGCGAGGGCAATCACGATATTCTCATTTGCCTGGCGCTGCAATTCCTTCACCCACGACTTGGCCTTATCCAATGAAGACTGTTCAAGAACAACCCGATTAGCAATCTCCCGCCATACCTATATTTCAAAGGACAAGAACGAAAAGAGAAAGAATCGTACAGCTTGGGTGATGTCATAAACCACAACGGCGCAGTTGGCGTTTCTATAGTACATGGGAGCCAAAGACTTGTATCTCTCTTGGCCGGCGGTATCCCAGATTTCGAACTTCACTGTCGTGTTTTCATCCAGCGAGATGGTCTGTGTCAGGAAGGCGGCGCCAATCGTCGACTCTCGGTAGTCATCAAATTGATCCTAATCCATGTCAATATAGACATCCCCTCCCCGGGATTTTTCACATCCTTGAATGCTTTCCGATCACTCACTTTGACGAATCTCAGAACGAGCGAACTCTGGAAATGTAGCACTCATGTTAGTTACCATAACAATAGCGGGAGGCGAAGGGATCTCTTTCAACCTTTCCGACAGCGGATTCTCCTATAATCAATCAGATAAACCGAGTCAGTGACTGTCTCATCCAATTTTTTCTCAAAGAAACCCAAGAATTTGAGGCGGGAATGTAAGAGGCTCACCAAGCAAGACTAGCTTGAACTGGGCGAATCTGGCGCCCGGGCGGGCTCCTGCTGCCGCTCTAGAAGCCATAATCAGGGTGCGCGGGAGGGAAGCGATAGGGGTTAAGGGAGAATAGAAGTAGTATTATGGAGGAACGGAATATCTAAGCCACGGTTGGGACAAATATAGAGCGAGGGGCGATGGAGATGAAGCTGGAAGATTATTAGCAGGCAGTAGCAGTAATAGTTATTGGGGCGATCGGGGACGCTGGGAGTGTTTGACTAACGTTACCGTACAGTACGCTGTCAGATGACGAAGGGGATGGCCTCAGCCACAGTTGACTATCTTCACCGCCTTCGGTTTCGGCGGGGGCAGTGGGCGGTGTGGCGGCATCATCCCGTGGCTGGTCGCAACACAACCAACACCAACCAGGAGATCATCGTTAGATTCTCTCGTCAGTCGGGCTTGTGTTAGCATTGTTTGCTACTTGATTCATTGTCGCTGTCACTCTCTTACTGCGCCATGTGTTGAGGCTCTTTGTGGTGCTCTCCTTTTATCTCTGTCATAATACTTCACATCTGATATCAGTCTACTTCCCTACTCACTCCTTCCCTACTCACTCCTTCCCTACTCACTCCTTCCCTCGTTTGACCATAGAATCGTTCCCTTGCCGACCTACTACATATCATGGCTCCTCCTGTGCTGCCATTCCGTGATATCAACCTGCACGCTGCATCGTCGCACTATGCTTTCACCTCCCCTTCGTCGCCAGATGCTCCGACGCTCATCGTGGACCGACCAACCGGGGACTTGCGCCTCCACAATGGTACCTTGTCAGGGGCGAAGCGGATCAGCAGCATCGCTGGAATTCTGGGTATTGTCAAACTGAAGCTGGGTAAGAAACAAGTTAAGTAACTATATAGTGGTGTGCAATGCTGATGGAACAACAGACAAGTATCTCATTGTCATCACTAAAGCTCAGCCGATGGGAAGGCTTCGCGGCCATATGGTTTACAAAGTGGTCGCAACAGAGTTTCTACCTCTGCGTGAGCGCCCTTTGCATGACTATGATGAGGATACCTATCTGGCACTGTTGAAGGAGTTGCTTCGGACTGGGCCGATGTACTTCTCTTATTCTCTGGATCTCACCAACAGTTTCCAGCGTCAATCACAGAGTGACCACGGTCTTCCCATGTGGAAACGTGCTGATGACCGCTTTTTCTGGAATCGCTTCATTCAGTCCGACTTGATTGATTTTAGTCTCGGAGAACATGACAACACTGGTGTTCGTTACGGTCCTCAGCCCGGAGCTGATCCGTACATCTTGCCGGTGATGTTCGGTATGCTGCGCATAACTCCGGCAAAGGTCAAGTCCACATCGTTCGTGTTTGCGCTTATCACTAGGAGGTCGAGACATCGGGCTGGTACAAGATATTTCTCGAGGGGCATTGACGAACAAGGCCATGTCTCCAATTACAACGAAACGGAACAAATTGTGATCCTGAACGACACGGCCGGTGGGCTCTCAGGGTTTGCTGGCGGACAATCGATGAAGGATGAAAAAGCAGGCCAAGATACGCAGGTCCTATCTTTCGTGCAAACCAGAGGAAGTGTTCCAGTCTACTGGGCGGAAGTCAACGACCTTAAGTATACCCCAAAACTTCAGGTTCGCGGGGTGGAGACTGCGGTTGATGCGGCACGCAAGCATTTTGTCGAGCAAATCGAACTATATGGAGAGAACTACCTTGTCAACCTGGTGAACCAAAAGGGTCGGGAAGAGCGGGTGAAACGGGCGTATGAGCAAATGGTACGCGCATTGGTCTCCCCGACAACCGAGGATACTGAGGCCAATGGCGCTACACCTGAAAAGGTACACATTCTGGAGGCTAAACAGACCCAGAAGGAGTTGGACCGTCTCCACTACATATATTTTGACTTCCACAGCGAAACTAAGGGCCTTAAGTGGCATCGTGCTGAGTTGTTGATGGATCGCTTGCTGAACGGGCTTTCGCGAGGTGGCTATTTCCGTGGTGTGGAAAACCCTGGTGCTCCTGGTGGGTCACTGGATATTCGATCAGTGCAAACCAGTGTTGTGCGGACCAACTGCATGGATTGCTTGGACCGGACAAATGTCGTGCAGAGTATGCTTGGACGTTGGGCTATCACGCAGCAGCTTGTGGAGGCCGGATACCTGAGCCCGGGTGAACACGCCACGGCTGACCCGGCGTTCGAAGATCTGTTCCGCAACATCTGGGCTGATAATGCTGATGTCGTGTCCAAGTCATACTCCGGCACAGGGGCCTTGAAGACGGACTTTACTCGTACCGGAAACCGCACGCGGGCTGGAATGGTGCAAGATTTAAGCAACTCTATCACTCGATACGTGCGCAATAACTTCCTGGATGGTCCCCGACAAGACGGGTTCGACGTGTTCCTGGGTACCTATCTCCCCCCAGACTCAACAATTGGCAGCTTCCAGCTCTTCTTCGACCGTCGGCCATTGGTCATCCAGTCTATCCCATACATCCTTGCTGCCAGTATCTTCATGATTGCAGTTTCTATCTTCACCAAGCGCGATCCTGATTCCGCTGTGTGGCCTCTTCGTCTGTTTGCCATATTCTGGGTAGCCGTTGCCGCATGGTGTTTGCGTTTCGTCTCTGGACATGGAATGCTATATGTAAGTATCCACTCGAATATATGGCAATTGTGTTACGGTGTGCTAACCACATTAACACAGGTGAACTGGCCAAAACTGAACACTCCATCAGCTGGCGCCGAAGGCTACCAAGATGCGCTCGTCAAGGCACGCTCAGACCCACTTATTGGGCATTGGATCCCCATCAAGAGACATCAACGGGGCTATAGCAACGCTCGTTTGGGATTCCTGGAAGAAGGAAAAACAAGGATCGAATAGATGCCCTTTCCGTGACTGGGATCAACTCTTTTCCCTTTACATTCTTTACCTGGCTATTCAATGACTGCCTGTATTTCTATTTTCTCTAACTTATCACCTGGTACTGGCGTTTTTAGATCGTTTTACTTACTGTTCCTCGGTCATCCATAATCCAGATGTTTCCTATGTTTTATCATACCCTGATTGTCTAATCCAATAACCCGCTTAATGGTTTCTAAATCTATCCACCCCGTGTACAAGGGCACATTGTCACGCCGCACCATTCAATTACCAGCAAACCAAGCGTATACCATTGAGACTCACCTGTACTGAGTAGTATCCATAAATATACTGTTTGTTAGGACATCTCGCGCAATCTGCTCACGTGATATCTCCGGTTATCTCCGGTGAACTTTGCAAAGATCACGAGATCCCCGCGCATTTCCTGCAAAAACGATCCTCGATGGGGAGTTTTCGCACCTACAATCTGTTCCAGAAAAGCCGTCTGTTACGTCAATTCTCTACTTCTCCCACAATGTCTCGCAATTATGGAGTAAGTCGTATGCGATAGTCAATTGAACTCCTCCCCCTCCATATTTCCCCGCGGAATACCGTCATGGATTGATCGTTGACAGTAAGCTCTCTAGGATGCAATCACAGCGCTCAATTCGCTGCAGACCAATTTTGCGGCGATCCAGAGGTTTAATAAGGCGCATAGCAGAGGAGACATAAACAAAACATCTATTTCGGAGATGCTTGAATGGATTAGACGTATCGGGTACCAGGTTTGCTTCACACCCGGATTCTATTGCACATAGGCGGAGAGTCGCTAATGATATTCCGCTTTTGCTGCTGACAGCGCTCCGATCTGCACCGCCTGAATGCAGTCCATGTCGCTGGAACCAAGGGTAAGGGCTCTACTTCATCATTTATCACATCGATCATTTCGCAATATGCCTCCGGTCCGTCAGCGAAAGTCAACCGAGTCGGCCTGTACACCTCCCCCCATTTGCGATTCGCCCGGGAGCGCATAGGGATAGACAATGCGCCTTTGTCAGAGGAGAAATTTGCCAAGTACTTCTTCGAGGTGTGGGATCGGCTTGAGCAGGCTGCTACCGCAGCTGGGGAGGATCCGAAGGGGCCGCTTGCAAAGCCGCAATACTTCCGATACCTGACGCTTATGGCATTCCACACGTATTTGAGTGAAGGGGTGAACGCTGCGGTTATTGAATGTGGCATTGGTGGAGAATACGACTGCACGAACGTGCTTGAGCGGCCAGCAGCCAGCGCAATCGCTAGTCTGGGAATTGACCACACGGCATTGTTGGGCGACACGATAGAGCAAATTGCATGGCATAAAGGTGGAGTGATTAAGTCTGGTGTCAAGTCTTTCAGTGTTCCGCAGGTCGCTAGTGCTGAGAAGGTCCTGCAACAACGTGCGGAGGAAAAGGCGACACAAATTTCCATCGTATCGCGTCACCCCGATCTCGAGAGCGCCGACATCAAGCTTGGTTTGGCTGGTGACTTTCAATATACGAATGCGACGTTGGCCGTTGCGACTGCTGCTGAATACTTGAGGAAGGTCGGAGTAGAAGGGATTCCGGAGGACATAATGAGCCAACCTTTGCCTGCAGAATTCCGTCGGGGGCTGGAATTGGCCCACCTGGGAGGCAGATGTGAAACGAGACATGAGAAGAACGTCACCTGGTATATTGACGGAGGCCACACCCTAGAGAGTATCAAGATGGCTGGCGAGTGGTTCGTTTCTCAAGTCAAAGAAAACTCGGCATCAACTGAGACTGCAGACCGTAAACTGCGTCTTCTCATCTTCAACCAACAGAATCGCGACAGCAATGCGCTGGCAAAAGCACTTCATAGCACACTATCCGCGGCTCTCAGAGCAGACACGCCGTTCACTCACGCGGTCTTCTGCACCAATGTCACATACAAGGAAGCCGGCTACCGGCCTGACCTCGTGAGCATGAACACGAGTGCTACTGATATAGAAAGACTCCGTGTTCAGAACAGTCTTGCCGAGACGTGGAAAGAGATTGACCCGCGAACTGAGGTTAAAGTGTACAGCACCATTGAAGAAGCCGTCGATTACGCCCGGGAGCTTGCCGCGAAAGAGCAAGGTATGGTCGCGGATGAAGCGCCGTTGACGACCTTTGTCACTGGCAGCTTGCATCTGGTGGGCGGCTTCCTCGATGTGATTGAGACCAAACCGGGTCTGCAGTGAGTTTGCTTGACTCGAGTTCCCCTCGTGTTGCTTTTATGACCTTTTCTGTATTATTTGCATTTTCTAACTGTATCTACGGCATTCACTCTGGAGTTTTCAACAGCGTCTCGGTGCTTGCTGGAGTTCTTGGAGCGACGGTTATCTGGTTTTCAACAGCCATTGCTGAAATAATTTATCCTTATATCCTTAAGAGGTCAAAAAGTTTAGTTATTTCTTTCGAGCTTCTCTGCCGAGGTAGATCATAGTCGATGTACCGAGAAGCATTGCATACAGCATAACTCCTAACAGCATATAAGAGAATAAAGCAAACAAATGTAAGAATAAACTCAAGATGGAACTAAATCTCCAAGTTGATCCGGTGTGGTCCAAATAAACAATAAGCATCTACAATAGTTGAAGAGCCGCACCCCGCGAAGTCTCCGCCGCCGTGGGGCCGAACCATTTTCTTCCAACACACGACTTTAACACCTTCCCTCCTCCAATCCATTTACCTCTCCCCCTCCAAACACCCCCGCCATGTCCGACAAGCGAGAACTCGAGAACAAGGCCCCCCAGGCATCGAATAATGATACTGCGAACGTCAGCACCAACACCAGCGATGCCGGCGCATCGAAGCCCGCACCCAAGATGGATCCCAAACTGACCGAGGCACTCCTGGACCTAAATCCCGCCCTGAAGAACGAATTGGCCAGCATGGATAAAGGGAAAGCCGCAGAGACTCTGCACAATCTGGATCTCTCCGAGCTGTTGACTGGGCTGTCCATGGGCGGGAAGAACCCGAAGGACATGGCATCGTACAAATTCTGGCAGACGCAGCCTGTGCAGCGGTTTGATGAGGATTTCAGCAAGGAGGTTGCAGAGGGGCCGATTAAGATGATTGATCCGGAGAGGGTGTCAAAGGAGCCGGATAGGTTGTTGGAGGGGTTTGAGTGGACGACGCTGGATTTGACGAATCAGGAAGAGTTGCAGGAGTTGTGGGATTTGTTGACGAACCATTACGTGGAGGATGATAATGCTATGTTTCGGTTTAGATACTCTCAGTCATTCCTGCATTGGTAAGGGTTATCTGTGAGGGTCTTGTTGACTGCTTGCTAACAGGGACAGGGCTCTGATGTCGCCAGGCTGGAGAAAGGAATGGCACGTCGGTGTTCGTGCCACCAAGTCGAAGAAGCTGGTCGCTTCTATTAGCGGTGTGCCAACGGAGATTCGGGTGCGCGACCAGAAGCTCAAGGTGACCGAGATCAACTTCCTTTGCATCCACAAGAAGCTCCGCTCCAAGCGCCTGGCACCAGTCCTGATCAAGGAGATCACGCGTCGTTGCTATCTCAACGGAATCTACCAGGCCATTTACACAGGGGGCACCCTCCTCCCCACCCCCGTCAGCTCATGCCGCTACTACCACCGTCCCCTTGACTGGCTGAAGCTCTACGAGGTCGGCTTCTCGCCTCTCCCCCATGGATCCACCAAGGCTCGCCAGATTAGCAAAAACCACCTTCCCTACGTTACTTCCACACCTAACCTGCGTCCTATGGAAGTCAAGGACATTGATGCCGTCCAAGAACTGCTCGAGCGGTACGAGAAGCGCTTTGACTTGAACCAGGCATTCAACCGCGAGGAGATTGAACACTGGTTACTGAACAAGCCGGAACAGAAGGATCAGGTGGTCTGGTCGTATGTCGTGGAGGACCCCGAAACTCACAAGATCACCGACTTCTTCTCTTTCTACAACCTCGAGTCTACTGTTATTCAACATCCTAAGCATGACAACGTGCGCGCTGCGTACCTTTACTATTACGCAACCGAGACAGCCTTCACCGGAGACCAGAAGGCTCTCAAGGAACGCCTGTTGCAGCTCATGAACGATGCCTTGATTTTGGCGAAGAAGGTAAACACCCTCTACTCTTCTCCGGTGTACACAATAGACTAACTATATAGGCCAAATTCGACGTCTTCAATGCCCTCACCCTCCACGACAACCCCCTCTTCCTTGAGCAGCTCAAGTTCGGCGCCGGTGATGGCCAGCTCCACTACTATATTTACAACTACCGCGCGGCGCCTATTGCGGGAGGTGTCAATGGAAAAAACCTGCCTGATGAGAACAAGATGGGTGGAGTTGGTGTTGTTATGCTGTAGACATGTATACCAGATTTGCAGGCTTCAAAAGCATGAATAGCGCGGACATACAATACTAAAATACCCTTAGAAAGCAGAAAATCTCTCTATTTTGGCTCTTAGATAGCTAAATTTATAATTAAAATAAAAACGTCCGAATTCCCCATCCATGTCTTCTGCACGTCAATCTATACTAAACCCGTCGATGCCTAAAACATATTAATGCCTCAGGCAATAAATGTTTCCGTAACGTCGTCATCCTCGAACGTTCTCGACAACAACAATGCTTGGCTTCCATTTCCTTGTCAAGTGCTGAGGGGATGCTCTAAACAATCCAAAAAAATTCTAGATTTTGTATCGCTGTTTGCTTCAAGTTGTGAGGTCTGTGAGGGGTAGCTCCACAAGTTACTGGCCTACTATGCAATAGCTGACACTTCTATCTAGACGTCTCGGGATTCTCGGGACGTTAAGTATTCCACTGAAAGAAAGTTCGATATAGGCTCTGGCTAGAATCTAACCTAATACGAGAAATCTGGAGAATCCTATCAAGCAAAATGGGATTAAACCAGTCCGTCGAGGATGCGGGTCAATCCAGTCCAGGTGAGTCTCGACCACTAGAACCATCATCTCCATCCACAATTCCATCTTTAAAAGGGCCCCACAATATGAGACTAACAAACCAGAAACCCTAAGCTACATTCTCGCTGAACGCTTCGCCAAAAAATGCTTCACCCCGCTAGAACTAACCCATTTCAGAGACAACTTCTTCTCCCGTGCAACAGACCAAAACGGGCTGAAATACTGGAACGAAAAGACCCTTTCTGATTTCCTGGGAATCCCGGATAGCAGTGATACCGAGTGTCCGCTTGATGCTGGTCCGGTTATCTTCCGGATGGTTTCGTATCTGGGGGCGTTCCCGTTTCAGAAGACGCTGGCTCCGAGCGTGCTGACTTTCGATGCAATGGTGAAGGTGGCTGTGCTGTTGACGGAGAGATATGGAAGGGTGCTTAGACGGGGGAGGAGAGATAGAATTCGGTTGTTGTTTGGGAGCCTCGCGGATGTTGGGAGGAAGAATTTGGGTTTGTCTGGCCAAGATGAAGAAAATGAGGATACTGCTGCTAAAGCGCATTCGTCTGGATATGACATCGACCAGCCAGCTAACGATGAAGAAGAAGACGAGGACGGTGACGATCTTGCTTTGGCGGCATTGGAATCGCTGGACGCCATTGAGGTGTTCAAGCACGATCAGCGCGTGGACAGGACTGTCTATGAAGCTCATATTTCGACTGAGACGTTCCATCGTTTGTTGATGCTGCTCCTTGTCATTGCACCGTTGAAAACACTCGACGATGTCAGAACATATACGGATGATCTGGGTGCAGAGCGCATGGAGACTGTCAGAAACGAAGCAGACAACATCCTGGGCGCATTCGTCGAGGATGAAGCCACTGGATATGGCAGCGGTATCAGCCATAAGTCGTTTTCGAAGATGATATCCAACTCGCTGCCGCACCTTTTCGACCCGTTGACGCCGTTATTTGAACACATGCTCTTTAGCAAGAACTTGAATCTGTCTCAGAAGCGAGGAAGAACTTATTCAATACCATCAGTGCATACAGAGGAGCAAGCAAAGTCTGATACTCGTATGCCGCCGTCGCCACTATTGGTCATGCTTCCTGGCGCGTTTGAATCCGTGATTCTAAACCCAAGCCTTATATCCCATCTTTCATTCTTCTTACCATCTACCTCTCGTGGACTGAACTTCCTCCAGAGCGGCTCTCAACTACACCCCGTCTTTTCAACAGCAGTTCACGGCTCATCTCTCACCTCCTTCTCCCACCACGTCCTAACATGGCAAGCACCCTCACTTATGATCCTCCACGGAGTCACAGAACAAAACAAAACAATAGCCTTAGGCGCCTACCTTCCTTCCCCATGGACATCCTCCTCCAACCACTCCTCCTCATCAAAAACTTCTGACTCACACCCATCTCTCTTCCAACTATCCCCCAAGCATCTTCTCCTCCCCGGGAACCCCTCCCCCTCAGTCCGCCAAAACACAAACACACCAACCGCCTACTTCTCCACAGCGACCGGCCTCGCACTCGGCTGCAAACTTCCGCCCTCCTCCAGAACAAGTACACCACAACCCTACCCCTACGGCGCAGGAAGTCTCCTCATCGACTCCAGTCTCGAATCAGCAGACTTTCACGTCTCGTCCGTAGGACACGATGGCGCGTTCCTCCCGCCAGTAACTACATCAACCCCGGCAGAGAAAACACACATTGACATCTATAACCTGGAGATATGGGGTGTCGTACAGTCGGAAGATTCGTCGGCATCAGCGGGACAGGGACAAAGCGCAGTCGAGATACAGAAGGCGAAGTGGGAGTTTGAGGCGAGGGAGGCGGAGAGGAGGAGGAATGTGAATTTGAATGCTGGGGTTGGGGATAGTGCAAGGGAGAGCGCGAGATGGCTGTTGGAGTCGGCTGGGTTGGTGGGGGAGAGTGGGAGGTATGGGGGGAGTGTTTGATTACTTATCTGGACTGAGTTTTTGATGTGCTATCTTATTGTTTTAAATTGATCTGGAGAGGCGTTTGATATTCATGATACTTGGAGACTATGATCAGACCTCTACTCGACCTACAAATACAAGCAGCACTACCATAAACTCAACCCAGTAGGCGCCCCATAATACTCCTTCAACTCCTCTTCCTCACCACCTTCATTCTCCGTATCCACAACATCCTCTGGCTCCACAACCACATTCTTTCCCCTCGAAGACTTCCTCGCCCCAGCCCCAGAAACAACCGGGGTCCCTGCACTACCACCCTCATGCACATGTACAGTCTCATGCTGACTCCCTTCCCTGGGCAACCGCATGGCCAAAAACCCATCCGGTGCACGCTCCGCGCGGTCCATGATCTCATTCATGTACTTGCGGACTTCGTCGGCGGGTTTGACGACGCGGGCTAGCGGCTCGAGGACTTTGGGGTTTGGGCTGGTGATGCGGAAGGTTACGGGTTGGTAGTATTCTTTTTGAATGGGTTCTTTTTTGTCTTCTCTGGGAATGGAGTCTGGGTTGTTGGTATTGGGGTCGGTTGTGGTGTCTCTGTCTTGTGCTTCGGTGGGTTTATTGGCTTCTGTGATTGATTTGGCGTCAGGGGCTGTTGATGATGGGTCTGGGTTTGGTTTTGGTTCTTCCTTTGTCTTGTCGTCGCCCTTCTTCTTTTTGTCGGACTTTTTCGATTTGGTTGATTTGCCTTTCGCCCGCGAATTGGCTATTTCTGTTGCGGTTTCTAGAGGGAATGGGGTATTCGGGTCGACCTTTCTAACGATCAGGAATGATGCAAGCACTGTATTCCCTCCTGGTAACCAGTCCAATATCGTATACTCGGGGAAGAGGTAACGATCTCCAGAACCTGCGTGACCAGAAGTACTACTTCCGTACGGGGTCAACGGAGATGTAAATTCGAAGACAACCGACTTGTAGTTCAATCTTGGCGAAGGCGGCGGTGGTGCTTGTCGATAGTAAGTAGCGGGTGACCCATACTGCGGCGGACGGGAGTGAATCGGAGGAGGCTGTCCTTGGTATGGAGGTTGTTGGTAGGGTGGGTATGGAGCACCTGGGCGTGGTCCTGCTGCTTGCGGGGGAGGGGGTTGCGGCATCGGACGGACTGCAGGGCTCGATTGTTTGGTGTTCGGATGAGCAGGTGGTGCGCCTGGCGCAACGCCAGGATTTGGTGCTGGGGGTGGCACATTCACAGATGGTGGTTGAGTTGGTGTGGCGGTGCCCGACTCCTGTTTAACTTGCGTTTGGGGAGCGGGAGTTTGTGGTTGACTCGCTGGTTGCTGGCTCGGAGTCTGCAATGGAGCGTTACCAGATGGTGAATATTGCGGAGTCTGTACGTCCACTCGCTGTATTGGCTGGGGCTTTGATTGAGGGGACGGCTGTGCTGGAGGAGATTGTTGCGGAGGCGGGGGCGGAGGAGCCTGAGCAGGAGGAGCAGGACTACCAGCGTAACCTAGAGTAGGCGTAGCTTGTTGGACCTGCCGCTGTTGTTGTCGCTGCTCCCTGGCTCTAATTATCGCGTTAAGCTCGTCGATATGGGCCTGAAATGCTCGAAGTTGTTCCTGCGTCGCCTCTGTCGATGCCACTACCCTCATCAGCGCCTTTAACTCTGGATCTGAAGCTGCTCTGGTTGCAAGCATCTGAATAACGGGGTCCGGACTGGGCTTCGGGGGTTGCGGTTGTGCAGGCTGCGAAGGCGACGGACGCTGCTGCGGCCCCGGAGGCGGAGCGTGGGCAGGAGGGGACATGTGACCAGGAGCACGACCCTGCTGCGAAGGTGGGCGCATAGGCTGGTTGCCCCTTGGTTGATACCCTGGCGGAGGAGGGCCCGGAGGGACGGTTTGAGGAGGATGTTGTTGCGGCGGTAATGCATGCTGTGGAGGAGGCGGGGGAGGATAGGGTTGATATTGCTGGAAGTTGTTGGGATGCCCGTAGTGAACCATCGGCCGCTGGGGGGGTGTATACTGAATGGGAGGCGGCGCATTGGGGTCCTTGACGGTGTAGAGCATGCAATCAAAGAGATGCGGTCCAACCATGATATGGCAGGGCCCAACCTTCGACATGGACTCCTTAGGGGGGTTCTTGCCTTCGATGTGCTCCCGTTTGGTCTTTTTTGGTTTTGTCCAGTATCGCACCAGGATGCCGTCGCTCAGCCATTTTTTCTTCGACCGTTCGAGTGACGCGAGAAGCACCGCACTGTGGAAACGAAACCCGTTAGCTTAGTATGGAAATTCAGATACAACAAGTGAATACCTCTCTGCAATCGACTGATAGTCCTTGTCCGAAAGCGACGCGACTTGCTGCGGCGTGGGGACGGTGGGCAGAGCGTCTCCATCCTTGATCTTGGTTGGCAACGGAGGCGCGACAACTGCAGGTTCTGGAGGCGGCGGAGGAGGAGTTGCAGCCTTTTTCTTGCTCGAAGACTGTGTTTGGGGGGCCTGTTGGGGTGCGGCTTCAGAGGCTCGTCTTTTCGCGGCGGGTTCGCGACGTTCGCGTGCCGGGAGCTTGCGCTTTTCGGCCATGGAGATTAGTTAGGAGTTATTTTATTGGATAGAAAGGAAGATAAAACCATCCCGAAAGCGTGGAAGAGGGGATGGCGAGAGGAGTTGCAAAGGAGAAATCTAGAAAAGGTTGAAGAAGAAAAGTGTTGGCGGGCGGCAGATAACGTTAACGATAGAAGCCCACCACCGCTACTATCACCACCACGACCACAACCGCCGCAAAGAATACAAGTATAGACAACTGGAAATTTGACGGTATTTCTGGGTATTTTTGTTGCTTTCATTGATTTTTAGGTATTGACAGGTAAGCCATTCAGCCCTTGCCAGGCATAAAATGAAGCTGACTATACGCAGGATATACATCGCCAGCATGGAACTGCTGCCCATATTCAAACGGGCATACTGGACTCTAGTTGCCGGAGGCCTATTCTATATATGCTTCATCATCTCCATGACCTATCCCACGGTCCAGCGATTGTAAGTGGTATCCATGTGTACCTCCAATGGGTCCCAATCTAATAACAGAGACCATCCCAGTATGCTGTACGCAAATAAGGTCAACCCGACGCTCTGGCAAAATGTCAACGATGTCGAGCAATTTGGATTCCTGAGTAAGTCTCCGGAGTATTGGCATTCAGCAGGGAGTGGCAGTTACTGATATTCGAACAGAGACGCAGGTTCAACCTTTTCATCTGAAAACTCCAGACAACGAGACGCTGTATGGATGGCATATTCTTCCACTGCATTTATGCCATGAGCATGAGGAAGAATTAGCCGTCAATGAGCCTTCTGGCCCGGCTGAGGACTACACCAAGACAATCACTTTTAAGCTGCTTGCCAATGACCCGAAGGCCAGAGTGGTTATCAGTTGTAAGTACCGCCTCCTGATCCATGCTAATTCTGCACTTGTATAGAAGCTAAATGTATGCAGTCCACGGCAATGCAGCCCACCTAGCATCCGCCCAAAGACCAGAAATCTACCGAATGCTCCTCGGTCTCTCCACCCCCTCAGACCCCGTCCACGTCTTCGCCCTCGACTACCGCGGATTCGGCGTGTCCACCGGCTCTCCCACGGAAGAAGGCCTAATCACAGACGGCATGTCACTCATCAACCTCCTCACCTCCGCTCCGCTGAACATCCCTCCATCCCGCATCGTCCTTGTCGGCCAAAGCCTTGGAACAGCAGTCAGCGCTGCAATAGCTGAGCGATGGGCTTTTGGATCCGAAGACCCATCCGCCATCCAGCCTGCCGTTAAGAACCCAGAGCCATTTGCCGGCGTGGTTCTGCTCGCGTCTTTCAGCAACGTCGCTAGTGTGGTTGAGTCTTACAGTTTAAAGGGTATAACACCGCCCATGCTCTCTCCTCTCAGAGGCTATCCTCGCGTGCAAAAATGGGCTGTGAGCCATATACTCGACCACTGGGATACAGCGGCGCGTGTGGCCCGTCTGGCGGGCATTGGACCGACAGCTCAAATCGACTCTGACGCCGGCTACGTTAGTAAGAACTTGGACCTAGCTATCGTGCATGCCCGGGATGATGTTGAGATCCCGTGGTATGAAGGCCGTCGTGTTTGGGTAGCTGCGACGGGCGAAGGTCAGTCGGACGTCCCTGGTCGTTTGGTTTATGAGAAGAAGCAGGAGCATGGGCCCGGTGAGGTTAAGGTCTGGGAGAATAGGTCGACTGAGGATTCGTCTGCTGTTAAGAAAGTTCGCTGGGAGCGTGTGGGGTATGGAGGTATGTTGTTACCAGTGTTTTTCCTTGGCAAGCGAGGCTGACTCGATTTAGGTCATAACCGTGTTGCGACTTTCTCTGTTGCGTCTTTGGCTGTTCTCAGGGCTTTTGAGGACTGATTGATGCATGGTATTTGATAACAGCTTCATTCCGATTACGACAGACTAAAGGCAATTCCTAGTATGAGGAATTTACGAGACAGTCAAGTCAACTATGTATACATATATATTCATGGAACACTTTATCAGGCCATGGTAACTCCAAAACAGCTAAATTTTGATTCTAATTAGAAAACGAAAACTAAATGCAATTTCCATGTACTGTTCTATTCTACATATCTCAGGTCATCAATCAGGATAGGAGAGTGTAAGGAGGTTTATTATCATCGGATTCAAAAGGCATAATACATGTCGGAGAAGAGAAGAGGTGTTCGCGGGCGAGGGATATATAACTGGGCGGGAGGAGATTCATGATTTTTGTCAGGGTAAGGATAAAGGGTTTATTTCTTGTGTCTGTCGGCCTGGGCCTTGAGATACTTGTCGATGAGTTCTTTTCTGTAATTGGGGAAGCGATTGCGTTAGTAATTTGGAGAAATTGAATAGGGAATTAAGGGAGGAACGTACTGTAATTGGCCAGGAGCCTTCTCGTAATGGCTGAACTCCATGGTGAATTCACCCTTACCCTGGGTGGCGGCACGCAGGTGGGAACTGAAGCCGAACATACCGTTTAGACTGCAGTCGGCGTACACGGTGAACTCATCAACACCAACTTCACTGTCGTTGATGGTGGCATTGCGCTTGTTCAGGAGCGAAATAACGTCACCCTGGAACTCAGCGGGAGCCGTGACAACTGTCTTCATCAGGGGCTCCAGGACGGCAGGGCCACTCTCCGTGAACGCCTTACGGAAGGCCTGCTGCGTGGCGTTCTTGAAGGACATTTCCGACGAGTCAGTCATGTGGGTGGCACCGTCGTTGATGACCATCTTGGTGCCCAGAACCTTGTGACCAATGAGTGGGCCCTTGTCGCAAGCAATGTGGAATCCCTTTTCACATGCAAACAGGAACTTCTCCGAGATGCTACCTCCCACGATTTGCTCTTCGAAGCAGTTGTCTTCCAGCTTGCCGGTTGGCTCCATCCAGCCGACAACACGGGCGTATTCTCCGGGACCTCCCGATTGTTTCTTGAGCAGGTGGTCGAAATCAATACGGCGACCGATGGTCTCACGGTAGGCGACCTGCGGTGGGCCGGTTTCACAGTCGACGCGATATTCACGGCGCATGCGCTCGATGTAGATGTCCAGATGCAGTTCACCCATTCCCGAGATGAGGGTCTGTTCACTCTCGGTGTCGTAGGTCACACGGAAGGTAGGGTCTTCTCTCTGGAAACGAGCCATGGCCTTGGAGAAGTTGGCGGAGTCCTTGTTGTTTTTGGGCTTGATAGAGAGCGAAATGACAGGTTCAGGAACGAACATGGAGGACATGCTGTAACCCAGTTGTCCGTCGGTGAAAGTGTCACCGGAGGCACAGTCAACACCGAAGACTGCACAGATTTCACCAGCACCGATCTCCTGGACTTCCTCCATTTCGTTAGAGTGCATACGCACAATACGGGGAACCTTGATCTTCTTGTCATTACGGGCGTTGAAGACGTTGGCTCCCTTCCGCAGGGTACCTTGGTACACCCGAATGTAGGTCAGCTGTCCAAAGTTGCTCTCTTCGAGCTTGAACGCCAAACCGACGAAAGGCAAAGAGTTGTAAGGGACGAGTTTCACGGAAGCTTCGTTGCGCTTCTTGTCAAGAGCAGTGTTCTGCACCTCAGATGGGTTCGGGAGGTAGTCAACAACACCGTCCAGCATGGGCTGCACAGTCTTGTTCGCCAGTGCGGATCCCATGAAAACCGGAGTAAACTTGAGTGAGATGGTTGCCCGTCGGATGGCGGCCTTAATTTGGTCTTGCGTGGGTTCTTGCTCGTCCAGAAAAAGCTCAGCCATTTCGTCGTCGACATCGGCGAGAATCTCGACGAGCATCTTCCTCCGCTCTTCCACCAATGACTTTAGTTTCTCAGGAATCTCATCCGAGATGTGAATTTCTTCACCACTCTCTCCGACATTGCGGAGCGTCTTCATCTGGACCAAGTCCACAACGCCCTCGAACTCGTCTTCGGCTCCAATGGGCACCTGGACAGCGGCAGCGGGGATCTTGAGCTTGTTATTGATCTGGTCAATGGCCTTGAAGGGGTTGGCACCCATACGGTCCATCTTGTTGACGAAGGAAATACGAGGAACGTTGTAACGTCTCATTTGTCGGTCGACGGTGATGGTCTGCGACTGCACGCCCGAGACGGCACACAGAATCATGACTGCACCGTCCAGAACACGCAGAGCTCTCTCAACCTCAATTGTAAAGTCAATGTGTCCGGGAGTGTCAATCAAGTTAATGTGGTACTTCTCATCCTTGCCCTCCTCGTTCTTCTTCACCCAGTCACAGAAGGTAGCTGCAGACTGAATGGTGATACCCTTCTCACGTTCGAGATCCATGGAGTCCATCTTTGCGCCAACGCTGTCCCGACCACGAACTTCGTGGATAGCCTTGATACGACCGGTGTAGAAGAGAACTCGTTCGGTTGCGGTGGTCTTGCCGGAGTCGATGTGTGCCTAAACAACGATGCCCTGTCAGACCCCGGGAGCTGTCTCATTCTCAAAGAAGGTAGATGTCCATACCGCAATACCAATATTCCGAACTTTCGACAGTCGTGCGGCTTCAACGGGATCTAGGTTATCAATGATAGCTTCTTGCGAGAGTGTTTCCGGATTCGACGATGCAGCTTCGAGCCTAATAAACAACAAACAATTAACAAAACCAATCACAGTATTAAGAGAAGAAGACACTCACACTGCAGTTGCCGTAGCCGAAGCATGTCTCCTCTGCTGCCATTGCGAGTTGCAGGCAGTCTGGTAAGCCGGCCCAGCAACAATGGGGCTCCGGAAAGCGGCCGTCGAGGAAGCGCATCGCCTAGCGAGGAATTGCTGAGACTGGAGTCGAGTAGACGATTTGGTCAGGCCAGAAACGGCACGGTATTGCAACCGTGCAAGAGCTGGAGATCTCATGGCTGTCCGTCGGCCGCCCACACACAATAAAAGAAAGTTGAGGCTTTCTTTTCTTGCAATTCCTTTTCCCCGTCGCGATTTCGCTTTGCGGAAGAGAAAAATTTGGAGACAGGTACAGGTCACGTGGAAGCCGTCTTATTGGTCATTCGCTTAGTATCAAATATTCCTTAACGCTGACTGGACATTTGATCCAACAGCTGGTAGTTAGAGGAATTATGGAGCAATTACATGGATTGGTCTCATTCGAGAAAATATTGATTATATGTGCTGATATCGGGTGAGTTATTATCATTGTTGTATCTACGCCAGATCAGATATGATACTAAACTTGTCCATCGTAGCAGGATACCCGCTAGAAAATGTTCCTTTCATTTGTAATTTTAATGTAATTGGTATTGCAATATGGAAGCTGACCTGGTTTTATTAGCATTGAATGAAAAGATGAGATCAAATAAGATCGTATATGGCAAGACCAGCTTAAACCTTCGGAAGCTCGAGGCCAACTAACCACGGCGGCTACACCGAATATTCTCCAGTAGTACCCTCAATAGCAGCATTGACGAATAGTACATGGGTGCCATCTTGAATTGTATGCGGGTCGCTGTTGCGGTGGCTGGTCATGTAGAAGGTCTTGTGGGTCTTCTCCTGGATAATATCAGAAAGCCTTCCAACCACAAGTGAATTCTCGTTGTCAATGCCAGTCATATGAGAAGGTTCCTCACTGAAACCTTCCCTCCATGCAACGAGTTTTACAACCCAGTCCTTGTGGATGTGACCAAAGCAGTGCATGCGCGGTCTGGGCCCGAGCAACAACTCCAAATAGATCCGAACTACCTGTACGTTGACCATTAGCGTAATCCATGATGCCTTTAGGCAGTTCATGTGTGATGGCCACATCAACATCGCTCGTAATCGCAAATTCATGGCCTTGGCCGGGGCGGTACTGAAAACACCAGTCTCCAAGGGAAGGAGTGTGTGGGCTGGCATAGATGATTAATGAAGCTCTAGTCCGCACAGTAAAATGATGCGTTCCTTCGCCCAGTAGTATAACCTTGCTATTGTCAAACACGCTCCTGATTTCATAATGACTGCCGTATACTCTCCGGACTAATCTTGGATCCAAAGGCTCATTTGCTTCTGCAACTTTCTTCTTGAACATAGGCGTATCTAGTGTGAGATCGTGACTTCCGGCAATAGCTAGCCTGAGAGAAGCGTCGCTTCTTTCAAAAAGTCGGATAGCGCTTTTGGATCCATCGAGCTTAAATTTCATAGTGAGATCGCCGTAATGTATGGCCACTTCGGCGGGCTGGGGATATCTGTTGGGGAGGTTAATACCATATGTGTCTGTGATGATAAAGGAAGGGATTTGACTTTATTAGTAGAGGCCATCGTAATGTCAAGACTATGTCTTCTAAGGTCCGTAGTTGGGCATAGTTGTTGAAGATACGAAATTCAAAGAGATAGGTGCATCCAAAGTCACGTGAAAGTCATAGCGAATTGGCAGACTATACCAGATACGGCAATCGGTCGTCACGTCACCCAGGAATACTACTGGTCCGCGTATTTCAACAACAACAGAGTTCTCTATATATTCACAATTTCTTTAATACAAAGCGCATAGCGCTCCTGGCATGCTAATAGCAGATGCGGACGTCATTGAGACTACTCGCGGCCATTGCCCGCGACCAACCGTCAAAGTTGAGGAAGCCGGTTGTTAGCTTCGACCATGTGAGTTGTTGGCATATGACTATATAAGCGAAAACTGCTTTGCTTTGCTATATCTCTGTGATAAAATTTCAACAATAGTCGCTAATAGCGGTATCTCCAGTTCATCCAAAGACAACGAGTCTTGGGCTTATGGAGAGAAATCGTCAGAGCTCTGAATAGTGAGCCTCTTCGTCTCAACTCTGGATGGAAGTCAACCAGCTGATTGAATTGAAGAAATCCCCAACTCGCCAACAAAGGTTGAATTACGAAACTATGCTCGCGAGGAGTTTGAGCGCCACCGCAAGGTAACCGACTTGGTAAGTCGTTAATACTGTAGGATGCTTACGTATTAAACTAATTGATTGTAACAGCAACATATACGGTATCTACATTCGGTAAGAATTGCATTTTCTGTTTTTCTTTCTCGCATTATCTGATATCTGACACTTGACAGACTGGCAAGTCGGAGTTTCAGACCATGAGACGGTATATCGATGAATTGGTGGGTTAACACCAAGAAGTTTATGCCTCAAGTACCTTATAGTCCATAAAAAATGGCAGAAACATCAGAAATATCCTGCCAAAACATGTATATATGTACTTATATGAATGGATTTCTTCAGAACCACTGTAATGTCTAGTTCCCGCCACCTATCTTCTGTATGCTACGGTTCCTAGTGTATCCCGGAGTAATTCGCTCTTCTTTCGATTCTAGAAGCACATAAAAGTCAGTCCTTCTTCTTAGTAATGACGAATACTAGAAGCAAATCATCGAACTCACGACTTCAACGAACTGCTCCTGTCCACTTGTGCCCTGTGTACACTACCCTTTTCTAGATCCTGGTCAACCGGAGCCCTGCTTCTATCGGCCGAAACTCCTGTCGTATTTTGCGATTCTGCGCCTGAAAGTTCTTTGACATTGTTGGACCTGTTTCGGGCATGTTCCAAGAGAGTATCTGCGACGAAGTATGGGTTAGAGTATTGTGGTTTGCCGGATGGACTGGATCAGGACTTACTTGTTGACGGTTCTTTGCGAGATATATCGGCAGTGAATTCAGGCATTTGCAACTGATAGATAAAGTATCGCTTTTCTTGGATAGGACTGTAGTGAAGGTATTGTTGTCTACTTCATTTGGTTTATATACTCGACCTAGGACCGTTACAACATTATACGTCATGAGCCATAAAAATACTTCCATGTCTAAAGGCAATACTCATAAAGAAAGGGAACCAATGCTATAGAAGGCCCGAGACGTATGTACAATGATATAAACCACCAAACAGCTCAATCCGCCATTTCAATCCACCTAAATGTCATTTCACTTCAACCTTATCCTCGCCCCAACACCATATCCCTCACAGCATCCAATACCCCAAGCGAACTCTTCTCATCACCAGGTTCTAAAGCAGACCGAGCCGTATCCTGCTCAAGCGCCGCCTTAGCAGCCCCCTTCCGCTCAGCTTCCTTGGCAGCCGCCTCCATAGCAGCATGCCTCTCCCTCCAATCCCGATCCTCCTTATCACGAATCTCCAGTTCACGTAACCACGCATCGCGCTTTTCCTGGGACCTCCGTACCTCGACAGCCTTCTCGAATTCTCGGCGCTGCTGGCGTTCCGTCTTGAAATACATGCCCCCAGCGACGATAGCGACGAGGGTGAATCCTTGGGCGTAGATACGGGCGCGGAACATCCGGTTCATTTCCACGGAGTCACGGGCTTTCATAGAACGGTAGGCGCGGTATAGGGCGTAGCATGTTGCGGCGCATCCTGGATTTAGAATAGGTTGTTAGACCTGGTTGTCCACCGTCCGACATTTGTAGTTCCCACAGTACTGGGGTGGGATTGGACTTACCAAGCGGAATCAAGGGCTCCTCCTTGAGTCTTCTGGTAAACTTTTGAAAAGATGATTCCTCCTTGAATTCACTACATCGTTCACCTGTTAGCTTTTCCTGCGCCCGTAACGGAAGGCGGTTATATAGAGGTTCGGCACGTACGGATGGTCATCGAAAGACGAGGGAAGAGGTTCGCGGGTGCTCATATTGTCGACTGTAGCGTAGTATACGACGACGTTGGAAAACCAGAGGCGTTGGATTCAATTAAGATCGATCGAGGTTCGGCCGTTCCGGATCAATCACAAGCGGAGCTCCGAGTCGCGCAGAGTCGGATCGGTCTCTGTATTCGTAGCGGAACACGCAGATTGACTGTACAAGTCCAATTTCGTTCTATTGAGACCGTTCAATGTTCCTAGAGAGAATAGTGGGCTTTTGTAGTATCAGTTGATGCGGAACATGACGTCGCAAAAGCGAGTTGATGCCAAGCGATTTTCTGTGTTACGCGTATTACAGAACGATACGGTAAGTAACGGCCGGTATCTAGTAATAGTCTGGCCAATTAGATGAAATTAATGGGACAAGGACCCCGTACGGAATAGATACTGAGGAATTGTAAATCAAGTCTTGTGCCTTACATGTATTTATCACCTGAAAGAACGTTCGAGGCTATTTACAATGTTTTCTGTAGTTCTGCTGCAAGTGATCATCGTTCATGCAACACCGCTGCATCCGTAAAGGAGGGGCTTAGGGCCCAGGCTTAGGGTTGATGACTCATAGACCGTCCCGCAGTCACGGGGTTTTCCAAAAAGTAAACGCCGATGGTCTCACAAGCTACTTCGAAGCCTTATCGCTGCTTCCAACTCTGCTCTCTGAGCTGTCTTTTTATTCAATCCAGCTTGTGAGAAAGACAACCATGACTGACGGTTCGACAACCCCCCTTGCTGCCAAGGTGAATAACCTGGCATTGACCGAATACGCCGCTGCCCCGACGCCGCCATCGGAGAAGGTTGACCAGTTAGGATCGGCGCCGGATTGGGGCATTGCAGACTCGTTCCTGCTTCCAAATGGGTATCCAGACGTGAGGTTATGCCTGTCTGTGTAATTGTTTGATTCAAAGACCATCTTTGTTTGCTAATGCAAGTTCGTCATGGGTCTAGTATCTCCGATTGATTTTGACGTCGCGGGTTTACGATGTCATCGAAGAAACACCACTGCACCATGCTGTCAATCTCAGCAATCGCCTCGAATGCAAGGTCCTTCTCAAGCGAGAGGACATGCTTCCCGTCTTCAGTTTCAAGCTCCGTGGAGCGTATAACAAGATGGCGCATTTGCCTCCGGAGAGACGGTGGAAGGGTGTCGTTGCTTGCTCTGCAGGTCAGCACTTTGTCTTCCTAGGAGAGAAGGCAGTTGCTTATATCTGAACAGGTAACCATGCGCAAGGTGTCGCATTTTCTGCCCGCCACTTAAAGATCCCCGCCACCATCGTGATGCCCTCCGGTACCCCCGCGATCAAGCACCTGAATGTTTCCCGTCTCGGTGGCAGTGTCATTCTTCACGGAAACGACTTCGATGCGGCCAAGGAAGAAGCACATCGGTTGGAGAAGCAGCATGGACTTACTAGCATCCCGCCGTTCGATGACCCGTACGTCATCGCCGGCCAGGGAACTATCGGAATGGAAATTGTGCGCCAGGCAAACCTACAGAACTTGGAGGCTGTCTTCTGTGCTGTCGGTGGAGGAGGATTGATTGCTGGTATTGGTGTCTACCTGAAGCGTATTGCACCCCACGTGCGAATCATCGGCGTGGAGGCTGATGACGCTAATGCCATGGCCCAGTCTCTGAAAATGGGCGAACGCATTCTTCTCAAAGAGGTTGGGCTTTTCGCTGACGGAGCAGCTGTCAAGACAGTCGGTGAGGAGCCATGGCGCCTGGCCCGCGATGTGGTAGATGAGGTCATCCAGGTTACGACAGATGAGACGTGCGCGGCGATCAAGGATGCCTTTATGGACACCCGGTCTATTATCGAACCGGCCGGTGCCCTGGCTCTTGCTGGTTTGAAGAAATACATTGCGCAAAACCCTAGCCCTGATACCAGCCGGGAACTGGTTGCTGTCACCTCGGGGGCAAACATGGACTTTGATCGGTTGCGTTTCGTCGCAGAGCGCGCTGCTTTGGGTGAGCGGAAGGAGGCTCTCCTGAGCGTCACCATTCCTGAGAAGCCTGGCTCGTTCGCAAAACTCATTGAGGTTGTCATGCCCCACGCCGTAACCGCCTTTAGCTACCGGTACGCCCGTGTTGAGTCCGCAGATATCCTGATGGGTATCTCTCTATCGGCATCAACAGGTCAGAGAGACCTAGCCAACATTATCAAGCAATTGACCAGGGAAGGAATGTCCGCGAAGGACCTGAGTGATGACGAGCTCGCCAAGCGGCATCTGCGTTTCCTGGTCGGTGGCCGCTGTGAAGTTCTGGACGAGCGCCTGTTCATGTTTGAGTTCCCCGAACGTCCGGGTGCTCTGGCCAAGTTCCTCACCACTCTTCGACCTAACCAGAACATCTCTCTGTTCCACTACCGTAACTACGGAGGTAATGTCGGCAAGGTACTGGCGGGTATCCAATGCCCCGAATCCGAAAAGGAAGACCTGGAGGCTTTTCTTCGGGATCTAAGTTATCCGTTCAGTGAGCACACTGACTCTCCCACATATCAGACCTTCCTCCGCAATTAAGATATTCTTACGCGAAATAACGGAAACGAAAAGTTTATATTGAATTCAGTGTTGATTTCACGGGGTTGAATGCTCCTGTTAGGCGTTCGGATTAGTACATGAGACAGAATGTGTGATGTAATCTTGTTCCTCAACATGATGTATAGTTTATTCGAATAGATAATAGAACGAGGAATGCTGTTTTTACAACTAGAATATAGGGACCTGTGAAAACAACGCCGTAAATGACAACCTCTGACGCCAGAAATGGCCTCCATTCCACCCGTAACTTTGGACGGCGAGGTGCCAAATGTGAGGATCCTGAGTTGATAAAGGGCTGGTTTAATCGAGTTCAAGGGACCATCCAAAGATATGGCATTCTGGAGCAGGATGTCACAACCTGGCTTCTCTCGTATCGTACCTAGGGTTCTAGTTAGTTGTATTTCGAGACAGGACACTTACCCTAAGTGTCTTCCAAGTAATCGTATGCTCAATGGCCATCCAGGTCCTCTGTATATCACGTCGAAGGTATCTCGCCCCCTCCAGGCTTCGTAAGGTGATCAACAAGTAGAAACGGTAAAGGTAACGAATAGAGAAACAAGGCCAACCGAGCACGTATGCTGGGTTGTTGGTTAAGTGCGGACGAGTCAGAAAGTAGAAGGTATTGTCTTTTTTGATATCAGCATCCGTGCCAAAGTTCTTCCCAACATGTTTGAAAAGATGAATAGCGTCAGAATTGTCTCTAGAAGGACACACAATACAGAAAAATGAAGAAGAAAAAAGTGATGCTCAAGCGAAACAAGAGCCTATTTATGCCAAACAGTCTTCTAGAATACTGCTTGGTTTCGCAAGGCCATGCTCACCCACTGATCATCCCAACATTCACCTGGCCATCACCCTTAGACCGGCAATGAGAAAAAGGCATAACGTGACCCACATGCGAATGTCACACACGGGCGAATGTCACACGAAATCGCTCCGCCGCGACTTTAACCCCAATATTTCCACCAACGCACATAAATTCCATTAAAATTACCCAGAATCGCCTTCCTCAGACATCTCTACTACTATCTGACAGGAACGTGCATTGTGTCCAGCTTTTCCGCAATTGCCACAGCGCCGTGCGCGTGTCTCGGTCCGCAGTTGCTGACCAGCCCCATTGCATGTTTCCTCCTTCAGTTGTACCTCAACCTCCATTTGATCCCCTAATTCTTGAGCTTCCTGTATAGAAAGTGACCCTCCTTTCCTTAGACGTGTTTTTTTAGCCCTCCGGCGTTTGCTAAGGGCCTCATTTGCCGCCTGAAGTTCATGAATCTCTGCTTCCATCAAATCCATCTTATGCATTATCTTCGTTGTGCCTTTCGCGAGGATGTCAACAGCATTCAGAATTGATGATGGAGAGCTATCTTGGTGACGAGAGATTCGGTTTTTGATAAGGTTTGTCTGGGATGACGCCTCAATTGGGTTATTTGGTGTTTTAGAAACCCAGCTATGGGAACTAGTCGGCCGCGAATTCGACGGTGTTGGCGTTTTGAATTGGACATCAAGCTTAGATATTACCCTTTCAGGGTTGAAAGGGATAAGGCCAGCCCCTTGAAAGCCACCTTTGATATTTTTTTCTGTCATGGTGGCTTGGTATGCGGTGTAAAATGCAGGAAAGAAATCTTCTTTAGTGATATGGGTGACACGCGCCCGCATAAGCCCTTCAATATGCTTACCATAAGCAATCTTCAAGGGACTAAAGTATCCAACATCAAGAGGCTGGA